GTGCTGCATCCATGGTCCATGTGGCCGCTCTCTGCGTTCACCCATGAGCGAGGGCCTCTTGGGGTATGGCTGGGGTCCACTGCTGTTGTTATCTCTCCAACTTGGAGGGGCTTTTCCAGGAGGTCCTCTAAAACCTCTCTGGCTTCTTGAAGGGGGGCCAAATCGCCCTTCATGAGTCATGCTGCTGTAGTTGTCCGAGAATGGCCTGTAAACAAATGTAAATTTTGAGCCGCTGACCACTATGCAGATACATCAGAATTAAATATTATATCTACAGCATTGTAGTACCTGTGTTTGGAACGAGGAGATCCTGAGTGCGGTCTCACCATTTTTCAGCTTTTAAACCTATCTTAAGTGAAATAAAAAAATGACATGAAATGTTACTCTTCCACAATAATGACAGAACAGGACTGACATAAAAACCGAAAGAAACACTTTGAATGAAACATCTAAAATCTGAAAGTAAAAGTAAGACTGGCAGTACAATGCCAACTAGTTCCGGTATTGTTCTTTGCATAACAAATCTAGGAAATAAAAAAGAAAGCCAAGCGATCCATCTCAGCATTTGTCATTCATGCCAATCTTAAATAATACTCAAATTACATGCTACACTCTATCCCAGAGCCATTTTAATGTGTTTTATTAAATTTGTCTTTTTTAATTTAGAAAATATATTTTAAAACCCTTTTAACAAATACTAGTAAAACATGCGGCTGTCCAACACGATCAATGGGTTTATATGGAGATCATCACACGCCAAACTACAAGGAATCGATATAAAACCACAGAACTGCGTTTTAATCCCACGATACTTTGCCCTGTCAGTCGTGTTGCAGGGACAAATAATCAAATGAACACTCAAAATGCAATGTTTTATTTGTTTCACACTGCATTGTTTTGATTGTTCCACACATCGTGCAGAAATAAAGGATAGTCCTTTATTTAATTATGTGGAAATTAAGCAAATTAAGACGAGGTCGACGACACCACATTCCTGGCCTAACGTTACATGAACGCGTGTTTGAGGGCCGACAAGGCCTCGAGTTTCACATTCAGAAGACTAATTCGAAACCAACATAATAACACGCTTCATTCATAATATTACACGTGTAATATACAACTAAAGTTTTAAAACAACAGATGCAATATTAAGTTGAATACAAAAACACATCACAATTTATACAAACAGCGTCTTCCGCTTTCACCGTCAATGCGAAACTACGACAAAGCGAAAACATTTTTTAAATACAGTCTAAATAACATCATGCAACAGTGTTAGTTACCACTTTTGCTTAAGTTTATATATCTATATGTTTAATTTCGACAAAGTTGACCGGCTGAGTTGTTCTGACATACCCAAGATGGTCCGATACGAAAACAGACACCCAAATCTAGCTCATCAGCAAACGCTTAGCCGTGATAGCTAGCTAACAACCGTCTTCCGTTATACGACGTTCCACGTCTGACCGAAGACGAACCGTATATGCTTTCAAATATTTAAAACATATATATTCAGCAGTTACATCAAAGTCGTTCCGTCGAAAAATACGCGTTGTCTGTGAAACACCATTCAGACGAACCGACCAGCTGCAGCCGTGCTGAGGTCGGGACAGGAACTGGCTGCGCCCATGTTGTTGCTTTGCTTTGCTTTGTTAGTATTTTGTATCATTTTGTAAACCTATTATTTATTATATTCATCCATTCAAAAATAATGGTTAAACGGGAAGGATAAAAATATACTGAAGTTAAAACAGTACAAAAAGGCATGGTGGTCACCAGTGTTGGGGGTAACTCATTACAAGTAATGCGAGTTATGGGGTATACTTAAATTTGACTAAATGTGAGCTTATGGCCATAAAGGGATGTCTCGAAGCTAGCTATGATGGTGTTCCCTTAAAGAATGAGGTTCAATATCTTGGAATATTGATAACCAAAGACCAGAAAAGAAGGTGCTTGCTAAATTTTAGTCCTACTATTGAAAAAAACAAAAAAGTGAAATCATTGGCTAATAAGAGACCTCTCTTTAAGGGGTAGAGTTTTAATTACAAAGGCAGAGGGTATTTCCAGACTTATTTATGCAGCAGTGGCTTTACATCTTGATAAAAAACTATGTAAAGAAATTCATTTGGAAAAATAAAATGCATTACATAAAGAAGACCGTTATTATGAATTCATATGAAAATGGTGGCTTAAATGTTTTGGACTTTGCTACATTAAATTATACACGTAAGGTTAATTGGCTTAAACAAATTTCTTAAACAAATTGTTACAAATCCTATTTTATTCCCTCCCATACTCTATCAAAATTTGGTGGTATACATTTTTTTCTTAGCTGTAATTATAATATTGATAAAATACCAGGAAAACTAGCTGAATTTCACCGTCAGGCCTTTTGAACATGGTCTTTGATCCACAAGCACAATTTTTCACCTCATAGGTACTACATTTAGTCATTTAGCAGACGCTTTTATCCAAAGCGACTTACAATTGGGGGTACTATATATGGAACAATATGGATATATTATATAAACACAAATCGCTTTATCTAAAACACTGGTTTGATAAAGGCATCATATTGGTGGATCAGTTATTTAATTTGAATGGTTTTCTTTTTACTTATGGTGAGTTTTTGGCACATTATAAGATTCCTGTTACACCAGAGGACTATGCTAAAGTTTTTGGGGCTGTTTCTCCTGAAGTTTTTTGTATGTTATTTAAACATCAGACAAGAGTTAACATCCAACAGTGGTCTCTGCCTAATATAATAAGTTCTTATATTGGTAACATCTGTTTTTCTCTTAAATCACACAACAGTTCCGTAAGAGCTTTATTTCAACGAGACATTGTGTCTTTGCCTTATGTTTATTCATATCGGAATCGCATGACAGACAATATTGTTTGGAAAAAGGTTTGGTTAATACCTAATCAATATTTAATTACAAACAAGGTTAAGGAAATATCATTCAAAATTATACACAGGATTTACCCAGCCAAATATTATTTGGTCAAATTTAAATCTGATATTGATATTAGTTGCTCCTTTTGTGTCAGTTGCCCTGAAACTGTGGTACATTTGTTTTGGCATTGCCCTTTTGTAAAACTATTTTGGCAAAATGTATGTAATTTTATTGTACAAAATATTGATAATCATTTTGTTTTGTTATGGAAAGATGTATTATTTGGTATATTGGAGAACAGCAAAGAAAAGCACAGTCCCGTTTACATGATAAATCTTATTTTTTTACATGCAAAATTTCATATTCACAAATGTAAGTTCTCATGCAAAAAACCTTGTTTTTTTTCTTTTAGGAAGGAAATGGAGCATTATATTGATACTATACGATTTTCTATGAAACAAAAAGCAATTAAAATGGTGAAAGTTTGTAAACGCTTTAATATTTTTATATACATTTGTATTTGTATACAGCCCCTCTAGTGTGAAATTGTTTATTTCATGTATAATGTTTATTGTTTATATCATGGTAACGTAATTAGTTACTTTTTTAGGGAGTAACACAATATTGTAATGCATTAATTTTAAAAGTAACTTTCCCCAACACTGGTGATCACTGATCACAACCTGAGAAAGACATTTGTCACTCACTGCTCAAGACTGAAACCACAATGACATATAAAAAAGAGACATTTGTCAAGTGAAACCACTTTTTTACATAAGAAAAAAACTTTTCTCTTTGTTATCCCAGACCAACACATAAAATAAGCTCCTTGGTTAAAATAATATTACATGGCCACATTCCACTTGTCGTTGGCCTAGAGGTTACTATTTGACTACACAGACTGTGGTAAGTATATGTGGTATGAAGATGTACTGTTATAGGATACTAGAATGATGTGAACTGAATTTAGTGAGTGAAAATGAAATTCACATTTCGCTCTTGTTCCTTGTATACTGCATAATTTAAAAGTTTAGTTCACCAAATAAGAAAAATCTGTTTACTCACTTTTGTTAATATTTGAAACACAAATTAAGATATTTATAATGAAGCTTAAGTATGAAAGTTCCCGCATCCAATGTTTTGAACATCCCAAAAGGTCATTCAATAATTAAATAACAAATCCATATCAGTCAAACTGTTTAATGTTCCCCATTTGTGGATGAGGTGAACCATAAAAATACAGAAGTTCTTGATAAAAATAGAACAAGTTTCAGTTCATTGGGTTACATTTTTAGACATTGTTCTTTTGACTTTGTCTTTCGACTTTTCATTACTCTTGCCCTTTATCTCTCACTCTTTCCATAAATGACACGAGAACGGGATCAGTTAAATGATGTGCTGCTTGTGTAGTCAAAAAGAGATGTGTTTGCATACAGTGTGCTTGCAACAGATGTGAGATGCTGATGATCAGAATTTCCCTGCGGCTAATCATTTGGTTAACAAGCTTTTGTCTTCTAACCAAGAGCTCCACATATAGTCAATTGCCTCAATAACTGTGCCTGGCCTTTGTAAGTTACTGAGGGGGAAATGCATGTAATTTCAAACCTGTATGACTTTTGTTAATATTTGAAACACAAATTAAGATATTTATAATGAAGCTTAAGTATGAAAGTTCCCGCATCCAATGTTTTGAACATCCCAAAAGGTCATTCAATAATTAAATAACAAATCCATATCAGTCAAACTGTTTAATGTTCACCATTTGTGGATGAGGTGAACCATAAAAATACAGAAGTTCTTGATAAAAATAGAACAAGTTTCAGTTCATTGGGTTACATTTTTAGACATTGTTCTTTTGACTTTGCCTTTCGACTTTTCATTACTCTTGCCCTTTATCTCTCACTCTTTCCATAAATGACACGAGAACGGGATCAGTTAAATGATGTGCTGCTTGTGTAGTCAAAAAGAGATGTGTTTGCATACAGTGTGCTTGCAACAGATGTGAGATGCTGATGATCAGAATTTCCCTGCGGCTAATCATTTGGTTAACAAGCTTTTGTCTTCTAACCAAGAGCTCCACATATAGTCAATTGCCTCAATAACTGTGCCTGGCCTTTGTAAGTTACTGAGGGGGAAATGGCAGGAAGTTATGAAGCAAGTCAGTCAACTGTATATGCTGTAGAGCCAATTGATCAGGCAGCAGTTACATTTAAGAACTGTCTGGAGCTGGACTGACATCAACAAAGACCATTGCATTAAGGTAGGAAATTATTATATATATATATATATAAATTAGTATTATATATATATATATAGAGAGAGAGAGAGAGAGAGAGAGAGATGAATATTATAAAGAATATTCAATATTCGTTTTATTACTTTTACAAAAAAAGAAAAAAGATTACACTGTTTATTTTTAATACTTTAATTATTTTTGACAATGTTAAACTTCTTTTACCATAATCAGAATATTTATTCTAATTCCTTACATTCAAATTTGAATCGCAATTCTGTGTTCTGTTTGCTTTAAATTTAGCAACTGAATTTGAAATTTTTTTTTTTTTTTTACACAACCCGGCTAAGGACTGAAAAAAATGGTACTAGTGGAGTTAAAAAAAAGTTATTTTGGTTGCAATTTCGTCAAATTCTGTTTGTAAATGTTCTGTTTGTAAAGTACTATTCATGCTTTATTTGAAAGTTATACACTGTAAAAAATGATTGTGATTTTAACAGTAAAAGAGTGTAAAAATGCTTCAGTAAAAACCTGTTAACTGGTTAACAGTACGTTTCCATACTATATTCGGTGAATAAATGTAATTACATTTAATGTAATTTTACAGTAAAATACTGTTAAAGATACGTTTTTGGAAGTGAAAAAGAAAAAGTCATTGTATAATTTACAGTGAAAAACCGTAAATTGTCACTCCCAGAATTCCCTGCATGACGCTTCATATTTGATGTTTTTTTGTTGAAATAACATGTTTTTTTCTTATTTTTTCTTATCAGTTGTGTGCATTAGGGTTTAATCTCACATCTAATGTTGTTATATTAACGTTTATTGCATTATTTCAGTATCATGTGTGTCACCATGATGGGGTTTAGTGTTTGTGTGAATGACACTGTGCACCTTCTAAAAGTATTGCCCTCCGCAGCTCGTAGAAAAGCTGTTTGTGATGAGCTTTGGTTCATCATGTGATTGTCTCATCACCACCAGCTTTTGGTGGTTATCAGTGCATTGCAATGGTTCAAAACAGATATTAACACTTCAATATGTTGGTTTATTAACATTACATCAGTTAATGAAATACGATATTTTATTGTGAATTTAAGTTAAGTCTGTAAAACCTAAAATGTTGCTACCATATTTTTTACAGTGAAGTTCTGGCAACCACAGCTGCCGGTATTTTACCGTAAATGTCACAGATTTTTTTTTACAGTGTAGGGAAGTGAAAAAAGGAGGTGTCAGCAGGCATCAAAGTGAGTGTTCGACCGTTTTACCATCTGCTCCAACATGACACAAATTTACACTCATAATCATTCAAGAGAAAACATAGATGTCATCATTCTCAAGATGTTTGATGTGGAGATTGTGTAAACATTCAGATATTTTAACATTGATCATGTGAAACCAGTCAAAGGATGATGCGTCACTCTCATGTGGTTTATTTCTGTTTGTGACCTCACATCTGACTGTTTAATGCGATTAAGTAATCACTGTAAACGCAGTGACTAGGGGAGAACTTGCTCTGTTGATCTGTCTATCTGTCTTTGGTGAACGTGGCTGGGTGTATGTAAGCCGTGTGTCTTGTATGGCTGCGCAACAGTTGGCCTTATGAATTATTTGTGTGGCACAATTGCATCTCATTTTACAGCTCTATTATATGTGATCTCTCTCCTCTCACCTCCCACCGGCCTTCCCATTGTGCATCTCTAATGGAGCATGCAATCCCGTGCTCTGCTTCCATATCTGACCCCTGACCTTCAGGGTCCCCGCCTCTACTGTCTAGATCAGGCTAACTCCATAAAACCTGCTCGATCTCACTGTCCGCTGCTCTTTCTCTCCCATCACTTCCCGTATTTCAACTTTCTGTTTCCTGTATTCCCATTTTCTCCTTCCCTAAACCATTCTTCTTGCTTTCTGTCTCTCTCCATCCATTCGTCCTATATTTAAACATGCCATAATTCTCTGTTTGGATTGCATTGCTTCTACAATATCCATCATATTTCACTATAGCACATGATATTTCCTTCCTTATCTCTTTGCTTTCCCTGTTTCTGTTCTCCTTTGTACATAGTCTCTCTTCTTTCTCTCTCTCTCTCTCTCTCTCTCATCCCCTCTCTCTTTCTCCTCGCTTCATTCCCCCTTTTCTTACCTCACCTCCTCCTCTCTTCACTTGTTGCCGTTCTCATAACGCAGCCCCGGACCTTTACGTGAACACACGCTCTTTAATCTTGCTCTCCACCCTCAGAAGGATGCTTAATCTGCGGGCGGCACAGAGCCAGTTTACCCATGAAGTGCGAGAGCCAGGGCTGTATGTCTGGAGGGTTGAGAAGATGAGGGCTGTGCTCCTTGAACCATCACAGAGGGGAATCTTCTACAATGGGGATGCATATATTGTGCTCAGCAACCGTGGAAAAGATGGAAGTGACCTACACATGTGGATGGGTGTGTAGCATCTGTTTATGCATGTATATAAATCATGTAGAATGAATGAAAATGCATCTGATGCTGCTTATATACAGCATTGTTAAAATATGCACTGTTAAAATATTTTTGGTAAATTAAGTAAAAATCTAAAAGATTTTGCATTTTCTCTTACTGTTGGCTTTCCTTCCCTGATCAAGGTGAGAAGTCGTCCCGGGATGAGCAGGGTGCTTGTGCCATGCTTGCCACTCAACTGGACAGCTTCTTGGGAGGAGAGCCGGTACAACACCGACAGGTGCAAGGATACGAGTCACCTGAGTTCATGGGACTCTTCCCTAAAGGAGTCAGCTACAAGGTGAGAGTAAGGGACAGCAGTGGAACAAAAACAACAAATCCGTAAAAATTGTTTAATATTGTATTCAACAAGTATGCATCACATTTACATTTATTCATTTGGCAGATGTTTTTATCCAAAGCTACTTACATTTGAGGAAAATATTAAGCAAAATAAGAGCATAGATAACGTGAAAGAAATATATTTTTTTTTAGGAGGAGGCAGTTAGATGTTCAAAGAAGAGATGAGTTTTTAGTTGTTTCTTGAAACTTGTGAAGGATTCAGCTGTCCGGATGGAGCATTAAACTGATCAACATTTCTATTTCAGTAAATACTGTTCTTTTTAAACTTTCTATTCATCAAAGAACTGCATACTAAATCAGCATACTAGAATGATTTCTGAGGGATCATGTGACACTGAAGACTGGAGTCTTCATGGCTGCTGAAAATTCAGCTTTGCTGTCAAAGGAATACATTTCATTTAAAATATATATATATTAAAATATTGTAATAATATTTCACAACATTGCTGTTTTTATTCTGATTTTGATCAATTAAATGCAGACTTGGTGAGCATAAGAGACTTTCAAAAACCTTCCAAAAACCTTTACAGACCCCAGACTTTTGATCGGTAGAGTATGTGCAAAGAACGTTCCTCTATGAAATTACGGAATTACTCGTTTCTCTATCTGTTTCAGGAGGGTGGGGTGGATTCTGGGTTTAAGAGTGCCAGGTCCAGGACTGGCCCTGTTACACATCTCTACCAAGTCAAAGGAAAGAAAAACATCCGTGCAAGAGAGGTGGCGCTTAGCTGGGGGAGCTTCAACAAGGGCGACTGTTTTATACTGGACCTTGGAGAGGTGTGTATGTCAAAAAAGTTATTTTTGTAATGTTGTCTGTCATTGTGCGGCTATGGTGTTTTAGTTGGATAAACATGGCCAGTCATTTAGTTGGTGTTATCATGCAAATGCACATATGTTTATGTTCAGACTGTAGTCGCATGGAGCGGTTCCAAAGCCAATATGTTTGAGCGTCAGAAGGTGCGTGAGATAGCAATGCTGATCAGAGACACTGAAAGGAATGGGAAAGCTCACATCATCGATGTGACAGAGGGAGAGGAACCACTGGAGATGGTTCAGGTGACAAAGACCACATAATAAGAAATTCATTTGAATTTAAAATCAGTTTTTCATTTAAATTTTGGATAACATAATTAAATTTTATATATGTGACACTGGACCACAAAACCAGTCATAAGGGTTCATTTTTTGAAATTGATAAAACATCTACTGAAAGCTGAATAAATAAGCTTTCCATTGATGTATGGTTTGTTAGGATAGGACAATATGTGGCTGAGATACAACCATTTGAAAATCTGGAATCTGAGGGTGCAAAAAAATCAAAATATTGAGAAAATCGCCTTTAAAGCTGTCCAAATGAAGTTAGAAAATATCTTCACGGAACATGATCTTTACTTAATATCCTAATGATTTTTGGCATAAAAGAAAAAGCAATCATTTTGACCCATACAATGTATTTTTGGCTATTGCTACAAATATACCCAAGCGACTTAAGACACACACACACATAAATATATATATATATATATATATATATTTCTACTGGTGGTGGACACCACAGTAATTGTATCATTAAGTTTATCCCTATATAGATTAGAAATGAGAACACCATCTCTATTTTTGCTTAAAAGGCACTTGGTCCAATCCCAGCTCTGAAGGACAGCTCAACAGAGGAAGACACTGAAGCAGACGTCATTAATTCTGCTTCCCTTTACAAGGTCAGCTCTCTCTCCTTTACAGTGTATTTTGCAGGTATCAAAAATACCTAACCTTTTTTTTTTGGTTAATCAAACTGTTTGTCTATCTATAAATCAAATCAAACAAAACCAGTTCCAAGTATGTTATAGGGAAAATAATAGTTCACGCTATTGTAATTCTCTCTCTCAGGTGTCTAATGCGACATGCCAAATGACCTTGACAAAACTGTGTGACAAAGGCCCTTTCAGTCAAGAGCTGCTGGAGAAAGATGACTGCTTCATCCTGGACAATGGATCTAGTGGGAAGATTTACGTTTGGAAAGGTGATTGTGTATATTTGTTCAAGTTTGTGTGTGTAGTAAATCAAACTTTTTTCGTTTATTGACTTTCTTCTTTGATACACAGGTAATGGAGCCAATGCAGAGGAGAAGACAGTTGCCCTGAAGGTGGCAGATGAGTTTATTACAGAAATGAACTATCCCAGGATGAGAACACAGGTACAACAACAGGCAGCTCACGGTTTCATTTTTATTTCTGTGCAGAACTGTCTGCTCTTTTAACAAATTTCTTTGTGACCTTAGGTGGAAATTCTCCCTCAGGGACGTGAATCGGTCCTCTTCAAACAGTTCTTCAAGAGCTGGAGTTAAACACACACCAACATATAGGATGTACTGTATGTAGAAAATGATACTCATTTTGTATAATCACATAGCATACTAGCTTAGCTTATCTGTTGCTACTCTTTGCTATTAGCCAAAACATGCTTGTTTGATCCCAGGTATTGTGAAGACTTGGATGGTTGACATTTTTATTCAGGAACTGCCTATTTAATAAATAAAAATACATTTGTGAATTGTTGATTCTGTCACATTCATAATGCTTTGCATTAATATAAAATACCTGTACACACAGGGCCGTTTCTAGCCAATTTGACGCCCTAGGCAAAATCCCTATTGCCCCCCCAAAAAAATTTATATATATATATATATAAAATATATAATATATATAATATTTGGATACTATATACTATACTACTACATATTGTTTAGATATTATCAATGGCTACTTTGTTGTCTTTATCTGTTTTTTGTTCAATTTTTTTGTTGTTGTTTCTTGAAACATTGATTTAAAGTGTCAGTTATTGCATTATTATTTCAGTCAAACCTATAAAAACCCCTTTGTTACCCCAAACTACATATAAAAGCTTTATCAGTGGCATAAAAGTAACCAGTGCAGCTACTTAATCATTTGCTACTCGTTAACGCGTTAGCGTCCTCTTTAAATAACGTGACGCTCTGCTCACTATGATGCTGCTCCCATTAAGCGCTGTTGAAAGTGAATGAATTGATTCAGCATTTCGACGCCTCCGTAAGGATGCATTTAACTCGACAAAGCGGTCTAATAAAGGATGTATTGATCTCGTGAATTAGCGAATTTTACTATACAAATATTTTTTAATTGGATGTTAAAATTTATATGGGAATATTACATGACACGCTGATCCTTTAACAATGCATTGGCGCAAAAAACGCACACCTTATGGACAAATCTGCCACAAATATTTGGACAGATGTGCCACAAACGTGCCACAAATACTGCCTAAACAAAATACTGACTTTATTTACTGTACCAATATTTTAAATTGGCCTTTGAACTTAGCTTTATTGCATGGCAAAAAAAGTGTTACCTTGCCAAAGCACTGACAGAGCCCACTGATCTAACGGCGTTGTTGAGCGCTCCAAATGCAAACTTTGCATGCAACAATCAGGCAGCAATTGACAGCACTCTGATCTAGTGGCATACAGGCATTGTCAGATTGACAGTACTCTAGCCCAGTGTTTCCCAACCTTTCTTTAGTCGCGGCACCGTTTGGAAATTTTAACAAATTTGTGGCACCTTACAAAATTAATTTTGTCACAATATTTGAATTTCTAACTTCGATATGATCATTTGAAAAGTATAGATATTCGGTACAGCAGGGAAGAACTGCAGAATATAATGTCATACAGATATTTTTAATATTATTAAAACATTTGTCCATCAATGGTGGCAATCAGTAGGCTAATTTCTAGTGAAAAGCCCAATTTATATGACAGATTTTAATGTAGGCTTTTATTCATATGTAAACATTGTGAGATAGCTAGTTATAATGGTAATTAAACAAAGTTTTGCTCACTCAGTGTATTTTTTATTTTACAGCTGGGTAATTTTGTTGCAGTAGCACGAGATAGCTTGATTTAAAACTTTGAATTGAATAAAAAATGACAATGAGGCTAAGCAGTTAATAATAAAATAAGAACAAATAAAGAAATTACTAATGATAGCACAAATAAAAAATAACGATAGGCCTACGAATGAAATAAATTGCTTTTTAGTTTTTCAGGTAGGTCTAACACACAGTAGGGCTATTAATAAAATAATGTTTAATCCTAGAAAGCTATTATTATCAAAGGACACGTGAGCATAACATAGCGGTTAGCAGATCAATGAATGAGAGGGCAGCGTTACCAGAGTTGCCCATTTACCACACCTTGTAACAGCACAGTAGGGCTATTGCAGACAGAAACAATACTGTACTACATCAATGTTTCCTGTCGGCTTGATTTTTGAGTGGACGTTGCTGTTCCGATGAGCATGAACGGTATACGAGTGGAGCGACTGAGCTGAGCGCACACATAGAGCGGATAATACGCAGAGCGTCACATACAGTCTATGGTCACACCACGTGAAAGTGAAACCTGAGCGGTGAACTAATTTTCGGCAGCAGGAATTTCAGTGCATCTCCAATTATTGGTGACATCAGAAATGGATATTATATAATAGAGTGACCTTGCCACTCTTTATCACAACCCTGCTAAAAGTGCCAGTACATGCGCTCATTGGCGCCCCTTCAGCTGGTGGCACCCTAGGCGACCGCCTAGCTCGCCTATACCTAGAAACGGCCCTGTGTACACAACCCAGTGGTCTGTTAATTTGAGGTGTTCAAATACTTATGCAATGACATGATGTCTGTTAACCTTCACTATATTGTATATTGAGCCTCATATTGGACCGATATCAAATATATGGACAAAAAGACACCACATACAGTCCCAATGCTTATGCAACCACTATGAGTAATACATACAGTACATGGCCTTCAATATGATCGTCTTTTATCTTAGAGATACGCACCAAGATAAAGGATGAGCCGTATATTAACCTAAAACTGAAACCTCCGCCAACCAAGGACTTAAGTAATAAAAGCTGAAGCAAAATATGGCCCAATTACATTCTTAATCAGACATTCTTCCATTATATTTTTTCAATTATGTTTAAAAATGGCTCTACAAAAGGTTAGGAGCATTATGGACTCCTTAAAGAATCAATGAGCATTGTAAACTCTCATGACTATTTCTTAACTGTTCTCACTAAGTCGATTTATCTTACAGAAATGTTTTGGGAAATAGATCTAGTTGATCTGAGTAAAATTTTACTGCCTAAATCATCAATTAAAAATTAAACGACATATCCTTTGAGTCACTTAATAACCTATTGTTCAATGAGGTGATTTCATTTCATTTCAAACAATATTTGCAGTTATCTTGAAATGCCAGTCATCCAGGTGTGGTGAGAAAAATGAGTAATATTATGATGATGAGCAATGAGCAATCATTATGTCTGTTGCTGTGGCAGTTGTTTAATGTTGTTGATTATAAATGCATATTCAGCATTTATATTATACATATTTTTTATCAGTTTACGTTATTATTTCAAATGAAACTGCAACTGCCTACAGGATATGGACAGTTTCACATGATTCATTTCTGGTCTTGGCTTAGTTTGAAGGTCACAGTAGGTTTAAATAATATTGACAGAGATATTGATTTTAGTTTTATTAATTTACTTATTAGTTTTGAAGTAGATCAGAAACTTGGGGAAAGCGTAATCAAATCTGTTGCTGCCTTTATTTCTTTTTAAGTCAGTTTGCTCAAATTTAAATCAAACACAGTCATGTTTGTATGTTGTCTGTTTTATATAAGTTATTTTGACTTTGAAATGAAAGATTACACCTTACAATAGCTTTTCAGCCCACATAAATTGATTACATAAGCTCATAATGCCAATGCCCTTATCACTGTTCTCCCCTTAGTTAACATAAGTTTACATGAAATGATAGGTGAGATATCATGTGTCAGTGACTAGGGTGGATTGAGGAGACAAAGTTCATTGTGTAGTCCACACAGATTACACTGCAGGAGAGTTTTTAGGTCCTTTTGCTCTGCTTCTGCCGGCGTGAAACACAAATCTCTGAGCTGGCCTGCTAACCCGCAGTAGAAAAGGTGAGGGATGTAAGCCTCTCTATATTCTATTTGATTTAAACATAGTGTTTAAATATTTAAAAAATGACAGAGAGTTTTTTTTTTAAATTTCCCATTCAAATGGCCTTTGAATCAGTAAGTAAAAGCTTATATGCGCTTTCACCTACATTTGGGATTTATTTGTGTTGTCTTTTAAATTCTTAATCTTCCTAATCATTTGTAGTGGTAATTAGTATTTAAAAATGTTTTTAATTTATTTAAATTATAATCATAGTATATATTTAATTTAGTTAAATAAATGTATTTATAATATATTCAATTATATGATAAATGACAAAGTACTTGGAAGGTTTCAAACCTTTGATGAGCTGACAGTTTGTGTTCTGTATAAGGCTGAGGAACTCAAAACAAAACTGGACTTTCAAACCAGCCAACATGAAGAGTATCCTGAAGGGCAAAAGTAAGTTTTAGAGACTATGATTTTAGCAACAACACCATAACAATTTAAAGTGTGTTTGAATGTTCAAAAACTAGCCTAGATATTATAGATGTTTGTTTTTGTCACAGAATATGAGGCGCCTGAGGCTGGTTTGAGTAACTCTATCGGAGCTGTACGCTGGAATCTTCCTGATGAAGGTCTTCAGGCTCACAGCTCAGTTCCTAGCAAGAGCAGTCAGAGTCCAAGACAAAAGGTAAACCAAAAGATAGATAGATAGATAGATAGATAGATAGATAGATAGTTTGACGTTTTTCCTAATTAATATATCACCTTTCTGATGTTATACAGGACTTGAAGGATCTCCGCAGCCTGCAGGAATGTGTTAAGTTTATCACTCAGTGGAAACAGGAGGTGGAACATGTCTGCAGGGTAATATGTAATGCTTTTTACAGCCTAAAATGTATACATTTAACTATCACCGCCCATATAGGCACGAGGCTGGACATAATCACAGGCTTGCTGATGTTCAGACCAACTGTACGCGAGTGTGATATTACCGGATAGCACACGTATGTCTGCAAGATGTCTGCTAAAGATCTCTTGATCTGGAAAGCATCTGCTGTGTACAAACGTCTGACAGACGACTTTCAGATGTCAGTTTTACATACATTCTAAATCATATACATCTTAAAGGCGTCTATTTGACATCTGATAGGAAATGACCAATAGATGTATATTGCAGACACTCTAAAAAATACGTCTTGCAGATGTAAATGCAGACGTCAAGTAGACGTCTCTGTGATGTACGTGTGCTATCAGGATTTTATACACTGATTCAATAAATAAGAAGTTAATAGTGGGTAACTTACAATTTAAACACAATATTGCCAGATCCTTTGTCTATTGTAGTTTCCAATAAAACCACAGCAGAATTATGCTGTGTTCCAGACAACTCGAAATGTGGATTTTTCCCATCTCCTACTTGGAAATAACATCTGGAATGCCGCTTTAAGTTGGAGATCCATCTTGTGAACTTGTGCCGATCAATCAGCCCCAACTTTAGCGAACCGCCTCATTTGAGGTCTCCGCAAGCGACTCTGGTGGCTACCTTTCCACCTCCCCTTGCTCGCTCTTCCTTCTCACTTTCTTCTGCCACACCCCTGCCCATCCCTCTCGCCTTGGAACCACCCCCCGTGGCCAGCAACATCAGGACGCAGATCTTGTCAGGTGTGGATGTAGATCTTTTTTCCCTTTTGTCACCAATTTCACCTCTGTTTGCAGATCGCCAAATCGACTGCAGCGGATTTTCTGTCACCCTAAAAAACACAGCTCACAATCCATCACGTATCTTATCATTTGCCGAATTCATGATCGCTTTCTCCCATTACACAGAAGTAATTTGCACTGTTTTCCCTCACAGGAGACTCAAGCTCGGTGACTAACTCGCGTTATCATACGGAGGCTCTCATTTTTACATGTACCACAAATTGTTTGCAGCTAAATGCACCATCTGAGTGGCCCAATGGAACCAATGTCCTTACTGGGGGGCTTTGGACACTGAACTCCACAATAGAGTGTTTTTAGGCTGCCGTAACAGCTCATGCGCGGCCTGCCGATGCATTGCCCACTCCACCATTACATGCCCTTTCATCAACCCATCTATTCCCCCCACCCCGAGCCATCTCAGCCCAAATCCACCAGCTACGTCCCGCACCTCCTAGACATCTCAACCACCCCTTTCCCCCCCACTTCCACCAACCGCCGCCGCTCAGCTTTCTTTGACAGCTAGGTCTGCGTCAGCTTCAATACTGGCAGATGCTCAAGGCAGCGCTGCTGTTTCATGCATGCTTGAAATTTTTGTGACGGCGCTCATGACCGCTTGATATGCCCAGTTCAAAAGGCTGCAAATAAAAATGCGAAACAATACTTATCGACTCCTGTAAATGTTTTTCGTTTGTCTTCAGAATTGCTTCATCACCCTGACTGCCATTTCACAGATTATCTACTAATGGGTCTCTCACATGGCTTTCACCTCGGTGTCGGAAATCTCCCCTCCCAAAGCCTCATCTGCCCCAATCTCCAGTCCGCTCTCGCCGAACCCGAAACAGTCGATCTCCTAATTAAAAAAGAAACAGATGCAAACTTCATGATCGGCCCCTTTTCCTTCCCTCCCTTTAATGTTTTCCGTGTTAGCCCCATCGGTGTAGCTACCAGGAAATTCTCAGGTAAAAAAACACCTCATAATCGATCTCTCATCCCCGCATAATTCCCTGTTCCCAAGCGTTAAACCCTTATTCTGCTCAAAGAATATTCTCTCCACTACCACGACATTGACCAAGCCATTACCCTGATCAAAAACGCGGGTCGCGGCGCTTGGTTGGCCAAAGTTGACATCACCTCTGCCTTTAAAGTGATGCCCATTCACCCAGATTTTAAACCCTTATTCTGCTCAAAGAATATTCTCTCCACTACCACGACATTGACCAAGCCATTACCCTGATCAAAAACGCGGGTCGCGGCGCTTGGTTGGCCAAAGTTGACATCACCTCTGCCTTTAAAGTGATGCCCATTCACCCAGATTTTTGCCATTTATTCGCCATCCGCTGGCAGAATAAATTGTACTTTTCCGTCCGCCTCCCCTTCGGCTGCAGAAGCAGCCCTAAAATTTTCGACATGTTGTCAGAGGCAATTACAATTATGACGTACCTTACCTGGTCCATCTCTTAGATGATTTCTTAATCATCTCGCTCCCCGACTCCATCCCAGCTGCACATCTCTTGACAACCCAAAAAGATTTTTGCAGAGCTCTGGATTCCTCTCGCCCAAGACAAAACCACAGGCCCAAGTACTTCCATCCAATTTCTGGGTATCAATTTAGATTATCAAAAATTCCAGGCTTCTCTACCCAAAGAAAAAAATCGACAGGACGATTCTGGTAGCTTCCACTCTCTTAGCCAACCCAAGCTGCTCCAAAAGCAAACTGCTATCCATTCTCGGCCACTTAAATTTCGAAATGCGCATCAGGGCCCCCTTTTATTTTTCATCTCCTCTCTCTCGCGTCCTCCGCCCACGCACTAGAGGATCGAATATCTCTAATTGACTCATGCTGCAATGAGCTCAGCTTATGGATATCCTTTCTCAAACAGTGGAACGGCCTATCCTTTTACAACAACCTGATTTCTTCTCCAGTTGATATCCAATTATTTACTGATGCCGCCCCCTCCGTCGGTTTGGGAGGATTTTATCAAGGCCGCTTGTTCGCATCTACGTGGCCCCCCCAGCTGCTAGATTTACCACATTCGAGCTATATCCTTTAATCATTGCAGCTCTTTTGTGGGGTAAGGAGTGGTCCGCCACCAGCATCATTATCCACTGCGACAACGAGGCTACCGTGCACTGCATCAATAAAGGCCGTTCCCAATCACCCGCCCTAATGCCTTTGTTAAGACGCCTGATTTGAATCTTGGCTTGCGACCAATTCATCGTAACTGCAAAACACATTCCTGGGTCCAAAAACCAGATAGCTGACTCTCTCTCTCGCTTTGTCTTCCAGAAATTCAGAATGTTGTCACCAGAGGCAGATCCGCTCCTGACCCCAGTACCTCCCTATTCAGAACTGATATTCCCGTAAACCATAGAAATGCTTTAAAGCATTTCACTCTGCTTACAACCTTCCATTCCCCATCTTTTCCTTGCTCACCATCACCTCATTCATCTCTCAACTCAACATCAACAAAAACCTACAAATCAGCTCCATTATAGGTTATCTAAGCGGAATCCAATTTTTCCACAAACTCTTATACGGTTCACCCTCACCCCAGATAGCCAATTCACAGACCTCCCTACTCATCAAAGGTTTCCAAAGAGCCCATCCCATCCGCCCAGACATCAGGCAACCCATAACCTTAAAAATATTGACTAAATGTATTTCCCCCCTCCGCAGAGGTTACCATTCCATTCACACCGCCCGCACGCTTGACACCATGTTCATCCTGGCTTTCTTTGGTGTTCTCAGATGCTCTGAGCTCGCTATCACATCTAGCTTCAACCCAAACATCCACCCCACTATCTCCGATCTAGCGGTGCTGGATGACGAAACCATCTCTTACTTCATAAAGCAAAGTAAAACAAACCAGACCAAGAAAGGCCATTTCATTTTCATTTTCAACCTCTAATCACCCATACTACCATACCAAGCCCTCCTAGCCTTCATCCAGCTCAGGAAAGCACAGTCTAAACTCCCATCCAACCCCCTTTTTACATACGACTCCAACCGCCCCGTCACTCATTTTTGTGGTTTCAAAAGCACCTTAAGTCCGTTCTGCTCCTATCCAGTACCCCAGCTGATAACTTTTCCAGCCATTCATTCCGAATTGGCACGGCAACCACAGCGGCCCAAAAAGGCCTCTCCCAGCAGCAGATACAAGTACTTGGTGGCTGGTCGTCAGAAGCTTTCAAGAGCTACATTCAATCAGACCGCTCCCACATTAAGGAAGCCCACTGAACCCTCATCGGCTGACCCATTTAATGTCAGTACATCCCTGTACACTCAAACTTCAGAACCACCATAGCTAACCCCTTTTAACATCACCTAATTCCCTTATAATGGCCCATCCCCACTCCAGCCATCCCAGCAGCACCCCGCTCCCACAGGAGCCTTACCTAATTCCCTCACTGCCGCAGCAGTGTCTGCTCCCACAGGAGCCTTTTCTGTATTCCCCACTGCCGCAGCAGTGTCCGCTCCCGCAGGAGCCTTTTCTGTATTCCCCACTGACGCAGCAGTGTCTGCTCCCGCAGGATCCGTTATATGTATTACCCCACTGCCGCAGCAGTGTCCGCTCCCGCAGGAGCCTTTTCTGTATTCCCCACTGACGCAGCAGTGTCTGCTCCCGCAGGATCCGTTATATGTATTACCCCACTGCCGCAGCAGTGTCCGCTCCCGCAGGAGCCTTTTCTGTATTCCCCACTGACGCAGCAGTGTCTGCTCCCGCAGGATCCGTTATATGTATTACCCCACTGCCGCAGCAGTGTCCGCTCCCGCAGGAGCCTTTTCTGTATTCCCCACTGACGCAGCAGTGTCTGCTCCCGCAGGATCCGTTATATGTATTACCCCACTGCCGCAGCAGTGTCCGCTCCCGCAGGAGCCTTTTTCTGTATTCCCCACTGCCGCAGCAGTGCCCGCTCCTGCAGGAGCCGTTATATATGTATTTCCCCACTGCCGCAGCAGTGTTAGATCCAGCAGGAGCCTTTTCTGTATTCCCCACTGACTCAGAAGTGCCCGCTCTTGCAGGAGCCATTATATATATTTCCCCACTGCCACAGCAGTGTCTGCTCCCGCAGGAGCCTTTTCTGTATTTCCCACTGCCGCAGCAGTGTCCGCTCCCGCAAGAGCCTTTTCTGTATTCCCCACTGACGCAGCAGTGCCCGCTCCTGCAGGAGCCATTATATATATTTCCCCACTGCCGCAGCAGTGTCCGCTCCCGCAAGAGCCTTTTCTGTATTCCCCACTGACGCAGCAGTGCCCGCTCCTGCAGGAGCCATTATATATATTTCCCCACTGCCGCAGCAGTGTCTGCTCCTGCAGGAGCCGTTATATGTATTTCCCAACTGCCGCAGCAGTGTACGCTCCCGCAGAAGCCTTTGTCTGTATTTCCCCACTGCCGCAGCAGTGACTGCTCCCGCAGGAGCTTTTGTCTGTATTTTACACTGCCGCAGCAGTGCTCGCTTCCGCAGAAGCCACTTTCTCTTTTCAGATGCGTAGCAGTACCCACTCCCACAGGATTTTTCTTTTCAGGTGCCGCAGCAGTACCCGCTTCCATAGAAGTCACATTCTCTTTCAGATGCCGCAGCGATGCCCGCTTCCGTAGAAGCCTTTTCTGTATTTCCCCTCTGCCGCAGCAGTATCAGCTCCCGCAGGACCCTCTAGCTTTCTCTTCTAAAGCCACAACAGTATTACTACAGTAGTACTACAAGCGACCTCTAGCACCCCACCAATCTTAAGCTTTGCAAATTTTGGGGGGTTATCAACACACCTCTCTGGCTGCTGTCCCATGCTAAAAGCATCTTTGGGGGAGTGCTCTGGGTCCAGGCTAAAAGCAGAGCTCAGACCCCTCTCCCCGGACAGGGGGAGTACCCCGGGCAAGAGAGTAATTAACGAGCTCGGAGCACTCTCCCCAGACAGCACGCCAAATACGCATGACCTTTACTCAGTTTATTATATGTAAGTGTGAACTCATGAATTCAGTAATAATTGACGGTGTGTGTGTGTGTGTGTTTTAGCCTGGTTCCAGTGCAAACGAAGGCCCAAATATCAGTGTGCATGCAGAGCCACATAGTCTGGAGCAATGCCGCAATCTCATCCTTGAGTGGGCACAGGAGCTCAAGAAATTTGACGATGTGAGTTCATGGATATAAGATACTTATGTGTAAACATCATGCATTGTTTTCATTAAGAAAAAAGATTTTATCTGTTTATATTCTCCCTCCTATAGTTGTTTAGTGAGGGCACATGGCGACAAGAAAGAGATGCATCTTGGGAGCAGAAAGAGAACAAGGTGGATTCTGCCAAGCATATGGAGCAGAAGATCATGGAATGGGCTAAAGAGCTACAGACTGTGTCGGAGGTGAGGACAGTGGGTTTGACCCCATGTGACATATGTAATAATGTGCAAAATCTGTATACAATATATTATGTGTGTATACAAGTCAAATAAATGTCCCCATGTACAGCGCTGTGGTGTGATGAGACAAGAATTAGCCAATTTTCTGAAGCAGCTGGAACTGAAGAAGAGGAAAATCTTGACTCTGTTGCCTTTTTTGGAATTCATAACTTGGTCTCTACTGAAACCGGACAGGCAGGTACAAGTTTTAGAAAAGAGATCAATAAACATAAAAAAATAAATAAAAAAAACTGACTCGAGTCCATAGTTTACACCCATAAACTGAATCGACAAACAATCATTATCAAGAGATACTTGTGTAAACAGTTTGGCACAGCTTATAGACAGGTACGATCATCCCCAAGTTGGTAATGTGTTTTTGAAGATACTAGACATAAACAGAGGTTAGGTTTCAGCATAATTACAAATGCAGATGTTTATATATTATATATCAATTTATTTTTATTTTATTAATTTTTTTAATATATTCAGCTTAACCACTTCTTATTGACAGTTACAAATTAGGGATATAACATTATCTCATTGTTAGATCCAGCAGGAGCCTTTTCTGTATTCCCCACTGACTCAGAAGTGCCCGCTCTTGCAGGAGCCATTATATATATTTCCCCACTGCCACAGCAGTGTCTGCTCCCGCAGGAGCCTTTTCTGTATTTCCCACTGCCGCAGCAGTGTCCGCTCCCGCAAGAGCCTTTTCTGTATTCCCCACTGACGCAGCAGTGCCCGCTCCTGCAGGAGCCATTATATATATTTCCCCACTGCCGCAGCAGTGTCTGCTCCTGCAGGAGCCGTTATATGTATTTCCCAACTGCCGCAGCAGTGTACGCTCCCGCAGAAGCCTTTGTCTGTATTTCCCCACTGCCGCAGCAGTGCCCGCTCCTGCAGGAGTCTTTTACATATTTCCCCACTTCCGCAGCAGTGCCCGCTCCCGAGCAGCCTTTGTCTGTATTTCCCCACTGCCGCAGCAGTGACTGCTCCCGCAGGAGCTTTTGTCTGTATTTTACACTGCCGCAGCAGTGCTCGCTTCCGCAGAAGCCACTTTCTCTTTTCAGATGCGTAGCAGTACCCACTCCCACAGGATTTTTCTTTTCAGGTGCCGCAGCAGTACCCGCTTCCATAGAAGTCACATTCTCTTTCAGATGCCGCAGCGATGCCCGCTTCCGTAGAAGCCTTTTCTGTATTTCCCCTCTGCCGCAGCAGTATCAGCTCCCGCAGGACCCTCTAGCTTTCTCTTCTAAAGCCACAACAGTATTACTACAGTAGTACTACAAGCGACCTCTAGCACCCCACCAATCTTAAGCTTTGCAAATTTTGGGGGGTTATCAACACACCTCTCTGGCTGCTGTCCCATGCTAAAAGCATCTTTGGGGGAGTGCTCTGGGTCCAGGCTAAAAGCAGAGCTCAGACCCCTCTCCCCGGACAGGGGGAGTACCCCGGGCAAGAGAGTAATTAACGAGCTCGGAGCACTCTCCCCAGACAGCACGCCAAATACGCATGACCTTTACTCAGTTTATTATATGTAAGTGTGAACTCATGAATTCAGTAATAATTGACGGTGTGTGTGTGTGTGTGTTTTAGCCTGGTTCCAGTGCAAACGAAGGCCCAAATATCAGTGTGCATGCAGAGCCACATAGTCTGGAGCAATGCCGCAATCTCATCCTTGAGTGGGCACAGGAGCTCAAGAAATTTGACGATGTGAGTTCATGGATATAAGATACTTATGTGTAAACATCATGCATTGTTTTCATTAAGAAAAAAGATTTTATCTGTTTATATTCTCCCTCCTATAGTTGTTTAGTGAGGGCACATGGCGACAAGAAAGAGATGCATCTTGGGAGCAGAAAGAGAACAAGGTGGATTCTGCCAAGCATATGGAGCAGAAGATCATGGAATGGGCTAAAGAGCTACAGACTGTGTCGGAGGTGAGGACAGTGGGTTTGACCCCATGTGACATATGTAATAATGTGCAAAATCTGTATACAATATATTATGTGTGTATACAAGTCAAATAAATGTCCCCATGTACAGCGCTGTGGTGTGATGAGACAAGAATTAGCCAATTTTCTGAAGCAGCTGGAACTGAAGAAGAGGAAAATCTTGACTCTGTTGCCTTTTTTGGAATTCATAACTTGGTCTCTACTGAAACCGGACAGGCAGGTACAAGTTTTAGAAAAGAGATCAATAAACATAAAAAAATAAATAAAAAAAACTGACTCGAGTCCATAGTTTACACCCATAAACTGAATCGACAAACAATCATTATCAAGAGATACTTGTGTAAACAGTTTGGCACAGCTTATAGACAGGTACGATCATCCCCAAGTTGGTAATGTGTTTTTGAAGATACTAGACATAAACAGAGGTTAGGTTTCAGCATAATTACAAATGCAGATGTTTATATATTATATATCAATTTATTTTTATTTTATTAATTTTTTTAATATATTCAGCTTAACCACTTCTTATTGACAGTTACAAATTAGGGATATAACATTATCTCATATATGTACTACAATATATAATAATGTAATTTAGTAATATAAGCAGTATATTTATGTGTATGTATTACATACAATGTTTTTTTAGGGTGTTGTTCCACAGCTATGGCTCCTCAGCAAACAGCGTACCTGGAAAACAGGTAAAACCTTCACTTGCATCCTTCAATAGACTAAAACGGTGATTTGGCAAATTATATTATATTCCTTTTAGGAAAAAGTGGTAGTTTAAATTATTATAAACAATTTTGACATGTGCTCATACTTTGTCATACTGTACATTTGTTTTGACAGAGACACCAAAGTACATTCCAAACTCAGGTACTGATTTCTGCATTTATCTTGTTCAGTGCACAATTTAATGTGGAAAGCATCTACAATGCAATTACATTCATCATATCACTGTTGTAAGAATGTTTATCACTATTTTCCATAGTATGGAGATGGATCCGCAGTGCTTCAGGTATCACTCATTCAGCCGTTTATGATTCAGCTGCCAATGAAATTCCTTTTGGCTTAAGAAAGCTTTTCAATTTTATCTCTGCACCTGTTTAGTGGACATCACACTGGACCCCATGACAAACCACCCATGGTTGCAGCTCTCTGATGACAAGAGAAAGGTACAGGAAGCTCTGAATGAAACTGAAGTGTCCTTCAGTACCCAGCGCTTCGACAGCTGGCCGTGTGTCCTGGGCTGGGACGGGCTCACTTCCGGTCGGTACTATTGGGAAATTGATATTGCCAACAATGGCTACTGGCGTATTGGAGTGACCACTGCATCCTCCAAAAGGCACGGCCGGGGTCCCATGAACCCCCCTGAGGGCTTCTGGACAATATGGAGAAGCACACGGCAGTTTTATGCATGCACCAAGCCGGAGACCGAGCTACCGCTGTCACTTGTGCCCAAAAAGCTGGGAGTGTACCTGGACTATGAAGAAGGACAGGTGTCTTTCTATAAAGTAGAGACACGCTCACATATCTTTACATTCACCGCAAATTTCCGTGAAAAGTTGTACCCGCTTTTCGCACCACTGGATGGACGCACACTCATCACACTGTCCTCCACAGAAGTCACACCAGAGGCGTCCTCTCGTGAAAGTGTACAATTCTTTTAACTTGACAAATGTTTTAATAGGGGACTAATGAGGACAGATAAGCACCCTTTAGTGCTTAAATACAAATACAGTTGCAAATAATCGGGCTCAAGAGCAGATTGGAAAGGTGGATAAAATGATTAGAATTGTTAGATCTAAAGGATGAGATCCTGTGGATACTGTGAAGTTGTTTTGGTTGTAAATTTCAACTTCAGTACAGTTGCAAAATTCTGAGGATTTTCATGAGTTCCCTTTTAATGGAAAATTATGAAATTTGGCATATCCTTAGACCGCTCTGGCATCAATGTGTGCAAGGTTTTGTGATCTTTAAATGCTGTGCGCACAATGCACAGGTCAATTAGTCCTTGTGGAGCATGACAAACAACAATTTGATAAATCAATATTCTTAAAATAATTTTTTAAGGTATGCTTCTGAATGATATTCTCCATTCACAAAATGTACAATGGAGTATGTTTTTTTAGAAAATGTATATATATAATCCATAAAAGCATTTGTTTCTAGCCCACGATTGTTATTAACAATAATGCAAGTTTGCTTAATATAGCACCATCTACTGTGGAAATAAAGTGTGTACACTTAGTGGGTGGGATTTTAAATCATCCTATTAAATTTAGGGTACTATGTATCGAGGATGGTTTCGGAAGCTTTGCTGTTTGGAGTGCAAACAGTGAATACTTTAAGAGATTCATAATAATACTATACAAGCACATAGTGATTGACTACAATCTCCAAATTGATAGTTGTAACACACAGAACAATGTTTTTTAAGTTAATGTTATTACAATGTAATAATTTTATTATGAATCTTAGATGCATGCAATTTTTGGTAGCTTATCTTCATTATTTAAAACCATAGAAACTTTACTGCGTCATAATGCTGTAAAAATGTTGCGGTGCATTAATGCTGGAACCAGAAAAGAAATCAAGACACAAATGATTTTTTAAAAAGAATGTATTTTTAAAAAAATCGTTCTTACAAAAAAAAAGAAAAAGCTCAGCTACAAATAAATGCATGTGTGTATATGTATAAAAGATAACTGTATACAGTAAAGAAAAAAACAGCATAAAAATATACATTAAGTTTGAACAGTAGCATAGTATTATCAAGATTACCAGGAGGGACTCAAACATGCCCTGAGTTCTTGACAATTGAATTTGCATATTAATATGAACGGAAATGAACCTAATAAAAAAGATTCCAAAAACAAAGTGTAATTATTTTTGTGTGTTATTTTTATTAGTTATTTGGCTTGTAACCATTTATACTGGTTTTATCTAACAAGTAATGGTCTTCTTTTCTTAAAAAAAAAAAAAAAAAAATTTTTACAAAGTGGTCATCCAGTAAGTCAGTGACAATTTTACAACCTTACCACTACGTGTTGGGAGGAAAGTGACCTGCACTGACCTACAACAGGAATAATCCCACACACGGTTAAACCTCATTCATATAGACCACTTCTGAATCAGCTGACTTACAAAGGTCCCAGTGGAGTAAACAAAACATGACATACAGGACTGAGGGATCATGGATCAGCAAATCACTAAATGCTCCCTATGACAAACTGTTTTGGTCAAACAAAGGCAAAAGAAAGGCATCCCAGCATCCTGCCATCCTAATCGGAGTCGCTTTTTTCATCTTTAACCATTAGTTTTTTGCCTCTTTTGGGCTCAGGTGTTTGGCCATCCTTCTCTTTCTTGCCCTTGGTGAGTCTAAAAAAAAAAATCAGCAATAAATTAAATGAAAATCATCATTCATGAATGAAAGATTATAGTGTATGTATATATATATATATATATATATATATATATGTGTGTGTGTGTGTGTGTGTGTCAAATGAGCTCTGTTGACAGCAATTGTGTAATTGCTTTAGGACTGTCACGATTCCTTGAATAAATTTGAGTACTTGACTATATATTAAAAACAATCCCCGATTGTATTTTGCCTTTGTCGATTAACCAGCAAAATACCAGATAAGGCACATTCTAAGGATGAGAATCCATGAAAAGCCTTATTAGACCGTCTTCTAAGGCTGCATGAAATACTAAACCATTTAAAATCATAATAAAGCATAGTGATATTGTAAACTCACAAAGGTTGCAAATCAATTAAATAAATATATGTGCTGTGGGTTTAATATACGCTTTATTTTTATGCGTGTAGGTTACGAGCATCTCAGAGCGGCTCCGTTCACAGGAAGTGCTGCTCCACACAAACAGTTATCATTTACATGCACGGACCGTGTAAATCTCAATTTTTCGTCTGCGAACAATGTGCACCATTCTTTCAGATTTATAAGGTAAATCATTTATAAACTTACGGCAACAAAGGAGATTGCATCATTATCTTTCTAAATATATTAAATGTTCATCACAATTTCAAAATAGAAGTTCAAACCCTTGCTCTTAGTTTGCATGTCCACATGCGCTTGTTCAAGAAATGACAGTGGCTGTAGCATTTCTATCATAAAGAAGTGACCAAATATTAAAGATCAAGAGGACTTTTGAATTAAATGTTTAGTCACTATTAAACAAGGATTTTATCGAGCTGTAAAGTATTAAAAACAACCGTCAGGCTGTTGACGCCCTCTGCAGGAATTCCATATAATACATAATGTACATAAGTTATGATTATATTGTTCTATTACATTAGGCTATGTATTTTAATACTTTTGTTCAATAAAAGCAAATGGTTACTTGCTTTTGATATTTTATTTGAACCAATTATTATTGCCTTGTTGCTATTATATATGTATTTTAAGTCAGCTTAGATCTATTTTTATTACTACAAAAAAAAATTTCCCATTATACAAATTATTCTCAGAATAATTGACCGATTACCAAAATAATTGTTAGTGACAGCCCTAAAAAAGACCTTTGTGCAGGGTGTAGTTGTGGCATATCACCACTTACAATTTCTGACGGTATTTGTCAATTTCAGATGGAGGCACCACGTCGCTCAACTCCAAACTGTCGTTAATCTTCTTCAACATTTCAAATCTTTCTTTACCCTTCACCTGCATGAAGAGAAGGCTAATATTAAAAGTCATACAACCACAAACTACACTTTGTTAAAGGTCTTAGCTAAGCATATTTGCAGTAGACAATACCATTTAAAAAGCACAAGCTAGATTAGTACACTAGCACCTTTCACACTCTCAATTAAACCAACTACCATTTCCATGAAAATCACAGGAGGATGATAAAAAAAAAAGTCACAGGAAGGTGCATGATCACCTGCAGGGTATACACCTCTTCATCACTGCTCCCACTCAGTTTGGCCTTTTTACTGCCCTCAGGTCGAGGCACAGATGAAGCTGACTCTTTCGTCAAACCTGTCAGATCAGTTTCACATTACTATGACATTTGAAAGAAATTAATGCTTTTATTCAGCAGTGTATGTGGAATCGAATTGAATTTATTTCATACACACACGTGCAAACTTACTACGTTTATTAGCAGAGGGGGTCTTGCTCAAGGTTTTGGTCTCCTGGTCTTTCCTGAAGTTGCTCTCCTCAGTTTTTCTGTCTCTGCCTGGGCACGCGCACACACGCACCTCGAAAGACCTGCGGCCCAGCAACTGACCGCTGCAAGACAAGAGTAAAAGCAGATTTGATGATCCTTGGTATCCACATTGGAATACAATTCACTAAAAGAGGAATCAAAGATGGACGACTCACTCATGAGTCTCCAGAGTGATGATTGTGAGGATGGGCCGGCGATTCATTCCACCCATGCAACTGCTGTTGCACATAAAGTTGTATAGCACCGTTGTAAACTCCGCTCCCAGCTGCAAAAAAAAAGCACAGGAAAGAGTGACATTACAATGACGAAACTTACAACAGACAAAAATCAATACATTTGCAATTAAATTATTTTTTTGCTTTTTATAGATCAAAATCCTGAGACTGACTTGAGGAGCTTCGTAGGGAACCACCACACTGTGCCTCGAGTTGACATCATCCTCCCTGTAAAGAGCACGCGAGTTTCCTTCCACTCGGATCAGGTGAGCAGCAGGAGCCAATCCTGAGGAGGGAGTAAACAGGCTTGGTAATTGCTTTTAGTGGAACTTGCACCAGTATAGCTAGTGTTTTCCTGTACAATGGTGTAAGATTGGATGAGAAAGAGCGTGTCTATACCATCACCATCTGGGGTTCTCTCATGGTGGGGACATCGACGGACCACCTCAGCCACATGTTCGGACTTCTTATAAATGGCTGTGGCTCTGATCACCGAGCCCGGCGGAGGGGCAACTTCCACCACCATCTGAACTGGACAAGTTTTCGCCAATTGGCAAAAAAGCTTATTCAGATCAGGCGAGTACTGAAATCAGAGAGAAAGAAAAGGTGCTTTATGTTTTTGGTTCATATAAACAAAAGTCACATGTTGAAAAAAATATTAATACGTCACAGCAGTTAGTATTAGTAGTAATCACACAAGTCAACAGAACGTTCATAACATTTGTTACAGAGAATGCTAACTGATATAACGGATGGCTTAAGATGATCAACAAGCAGTCCAAAAACTGACTACTAGTTGATCAGTGAGGTCAGCTACTTTAACTAGAATTTTGGTGCTTTAAAGTGGACGTCTTGAAGAGAGGTTTTAATGGACTGACAGTGTGTCAGTTTAAATCTCCTTTAAAACACCACCACTACAGGTGAAGCAAATTCACAGCCTTTAACAATAAACATGCTAATTTTGAAGTATTTGTACCATTTTAAATGAACACTTTTAAAATGCATTTGTCTTATTCCAGAAAAAAATACATACAATAAAAATTATAATAAAACAAATGTTTTATCTAACCTAGTACATTAAACAGAAGGACACAGAGATTTGTAAGTGACAAAAGTCTCAAGCTTTACTACAAAAGCTCACATATCTTGAAAAAATTAAGTTCAGACATATATCATTAGACTGATCAGTTTTAAAATAGTATATATTATAGAAATTATATAATTTATCACATTTAAATTTGAGCTTTTGAAATTGTATTGTCCTCTTACCATACAGATCATGTGCAGTCAAGTAGTTTCTCACAGGATCTGAAACACACCAGTTTGACTATCTAGCACTATAACAGCCTAAAATTCTACTCTCTTTTCTAAAACTCTGTTTTACCGGACGCACTTCTCCCTCCAATGGTTACACTGAATTTTTGGATGCCAAACGTCCCTGCTCTGAGTCTTGTAGACTGCAGTTTCTGTAAAACTGACACTCCCCTCCCCCACTGCTCTATGAGGACAAGTTCAGACATGTTCAAACTTCACAGATACAGCTTACTAATAAAACTGCTGCTCAAAAAATACAAATAAAGCCAAAAAACAAAAACTAAAATTAACAAAGATTTCACAGATTACAGGACTACGTAAAATATAAGTACTGTCAGATTTAATAATGTTAGATGGCTAAACACAACAGAGACTGACAAAGCTAGACGTATGACTCATTACTGATGTAAACGGTAGTGTACACTGAGGAGTAGGTGAAAGCTTCTTTGACAAGGAATGCAGTCATCCAAGCTGCCATCTTAGAGCAACACCTCTTTCTACATACTGGACACGAGAGTGTGTATTAAACTATATTTACTAAAATACACAGATAATCTACAGAAGCTATAGCTTTTTCCCAAAATGTAGCTTTCTAATAAACCTGCCATTGTACACAATGACTGTTATTGGCGGTGTAATGCATTATTTTTCTCCACTGTAAGTCGCTCTGGATAAAAGAATCTACTAAATACGTACAAGTGTAAATGTAAGCCAAATGCACAGCCATTTCTTTCTGCAACCTCTCCAAACTGATATATGATGAATTTCTAGTAACTTTATTGAGTTTGAATCTACATATTTGCTTCTATCCATTGTTCAAACCATTGCTTCTGTAGGGTTGTGTGGCATCATGGATTATAAACTAATTAGTTTTGCTAAGAAATTAGGATCTGTACCAAAAAAGTACAACAGATGAAAGAGATAGAAAAAAAGACTTGGTGAGGGGTGGGAGGCGGTGGGGCAGCACTTTTTTTTTTTTTTAACCCCAACGCTACCGGAGAAGTTTTTGGCGCTCCACATGAGAACATGCCCATTCATGTCTTCAGACAATGCAATAAGAAACTGCCAAATTCGATTTCTTATTTGCCCACTCCAGATGTTAGATTGACAAGCTGAATGACCACAAAAGCTCTCTACACCTGAGCAGGGAATACACAAAAGATGGGATTTCTGAAGTATTATTTAGGACAGGAACGAAGGAGATGATGGAGAACGAATTAAGTCTCGCCGTATCCTGGCAGCATTCCTATTCAGCGCTCACCAGAAAGGACAATTTGAGTCTCTACATGACCTCAGGTACAAATGCATCTATGTACATATTTGAACTACTACATAATAACGTTAGTTTTCTACTAACTGTCACTAACTTTTAACTAGATATTACCACTAACACTTATCTACACTAACTAGAAACCCTTTTATTTCCAAACAGAATATGAACAGCCAATAGCAATAATCTGAAACTACCCAACCTGATTTTTCATTTATTTAGGATGCTAGTGTATAGTAATACGAGATTAGAGGAATCATATGGGTGATCGACATTTTACGCAAGTTGAGTACTGTATGCATGGATGTATGTGTGTATTTTTAACTTACAGTGCAGGTCACAGACTTGGCGGTGCCAGATTGCGGGAACCCCAGTTTGAAGCCATGTTCCCCAGGATAATCAGTGGCAACAGGAACAGAGGCGGACGGAGGGGAGGTGGACGGCTGAGGCTGTTCAGTCAGCACATTATCAAAAATATTGGGATCGAAGGAGCTTGGAAGATACTGCTGAAACACATAAGAGTCCAGCACTGAAAAACAAGTATGAATACCAGAGGGTATGTGCATATACATGCTGTTTTAACAATACCTCATCGCTGATCAATTCCCAGCAAGTGCCGGCTTCTTGAGTGGAACTGAGACACAAATTGGGAGAGAGATAAGAGAATTAATTTAGCATTAAACTAATAAAGCACACACAATATACACAACAGAGTACTGATGCACAATGACAAGTTCAATAGATCTTGACCAACCAAAAATAAATACAAAAATTCTTACAGAGACCTGACATAATATTGCCTGCACCCACATAAAACTGAAGATGTGACCAAAGCCGGGTCTCTGTTGCAAACTTACATGAGGTTTCTCTCCCACAGGTCAGCAAATTCTTGACTTTCTGCCATGGCTTGTTTTAGATTCGCAAAACTACAGATATAACAAAACTTTCAGTCAGCTCAGCACTTGAGAGAAAATATAATGAAAATACAACACCTCGTTCGAGATTTTTAAAACGGTTCGGCCGGCGACGTTGTCTCTTTACTGAGTGCGATAACTTTCAAATTAAACAACCAAATCACGTTTGTAAATAGTATCGCGAAAAGTTTTAAGGGCAGGTTTAAATCAAGTGACCGCTCAACGGAAACATTCACATAAGCGCTCTTCTATGAGCCAAGTTTCGAAAATACCGCTTAGCTAACTGTTAGCTAATTTGCTTTACAAGCTAATCGCATATTTGCAGACACCGTTAAAGTCAAGAGAGAAAAACCCATTCAGACATCAAAGCCAGATTTATTAAAAAGACACAATATGTTAACGTGTTGCATTAAAAACATATTTGAACATTTTCGACTGCTAGCTAGCTAGTTAACCTGCTTCACGACTTGACGTTACGATAACGTTTAAAGCGCCGTTGGGCCTCTGAGTTTCCGCTCTTGTTAATTCATTCGTTTTAGTCGAAATTTTTTAATCCGCTTTTATCGCATCGAGGTCAGCTCGTTATAATCACAATATCTGCACGCATAAAGTAATCTTGTACTCTAAATCCCGATTTTAATGCACGAAATAGTTTCGAATCAAACAATTAATGTAAAAAAAAAAGTATGTTCTCACAGATTAGGAATCAGCACAATTGTCTCTCTGTTACCTTGCAATAATTTACTTCACCGACCTCCTCTCCCCCAAACGGTTTTCACGTTACTCTTGTAAGAGTCTTGCGGTGATGCGTTCCGAGTGACTCACGCAAGGGCCAAAAAACACAACACAGCATAAAAACTGGCTTCTTTCAAACCCAAAGCAAAATCCACGCGTGAGTTTGAGGGGATTCCCCTACAGGAGGAGTCTGCTGACGCCAGCGTCACCTGACTACCGGCCTCACGCTTAAATGAAAACAAGGAGAAAAAAAAAGAAAAGGAAAAAAAAAAAACCCGCAGAAAATGACCGATTTTTAATAGACGACTGGACATTTCGTTCGCATTTTTGTTTGAATTTTACAATTATCTAAAATGTTACCGAAAACCGGACATGCTATTATTACAAAAGGCGCGAAATCTGCATAATGAGGAAGTTGTTTAAAATGTCCACCAGACTAGTCCGTGTTTATTACAGTGCTTTGCATTTAGTCGCGGGAGAGCGTTCCGAATATAAAAAAGAGTTGTTTTTAATTCTATATAATATTGGACGACATGGCGTATTTTGCAAAGCGTATATATCGATGTATAGGCAAAGAATGAAGTTAGAGATTAATAATACAGAAACAGAAGGGTTATTGATTTTATTAGGTTAGAAAAACTCATGAGCTCATCTCCAGGATATGGTATGGTAAGCATCAAATCCAAACTATATCAATCTAACAGGGATAAACCGAGAGTCACTCATTTTTGCTGACATATGTTGTGTGCCTCTGCAGAAATGTCACCAAATGATGAGCTCCAGAGGCCTAGCAAAATATCTGCTTACCCAATTCACAGCCACTGAATTTCTGATTGCTACTCGTGAGTTATAAAATCATGCATGAAACCTCTTACCAGTCAGTTGGGCCCCCACATCACTTACATAATAGAAGATGAGGTCTTTCATGATCGATTCACCACTCAGACTGAAAGTGGTGATATGATGAATAACATTTCAGAAATGTTATTATTTACTGTTATGTCACTCACATTTATAATATTTAGCCTAACTGTTAAATGTGCATTCTGCAGTACGCATACATTTACGAGGAACAAATGCTTGTACATACATTAGAAAGTTAATGGAGTTTTTGGTGTGTACAACAGAAACCGTGATCCAGCAACCGGTGAGTCAACATCAACACCATTCTCTCTTTTGCTTTTTTGTGATTTAATAACACACCAGAAGAAATAAAACCACCATTAGTTTAGTTTATCATTTAAACTTTGTACTCCCATATGAAACGACTTACACTTGTGCGTCTCTGTTGTTCTCGGAGATAAAAATGACAAATCAGTCACAATGCAAATCACTTAATTTGATATTATGATTCATTCATAATGAGTGTGATTAATAAAAAAAAATAATGGCATTGGTATTATAATAAAAAAGAAATGAGTTTAAAAAAAAAGACAAAAGTAGGATTCCACGTATATATTTTGTATAGTTAACATCACCAAGTGCAGTGGTATAAATCACATATTTCTGTAACAGTATTGTGTTTTAGAGAAAGAAAAAAAATGACTTTGTAGAACATGTAATAGACCCATTACAGTATAAAAGACGTAATGAGACTTTACTAATTGTTGTTTATTCTTTGCTAACTATGCACTTAATTGCTGATAATTTATTATTTAAAATTATGAGCAATTCATTTTTATGATGTCAAAGACTATCTTTGCCTTGTCATCACTCCAAATGACATATCTAAGGTTTTACACAACTTTGTGTTTTGTAATTCATTTTTCACCAAAAAGGAAAAATGATGGCGATCGATATTATAAACCTAGTCGAGGACAATAAAATAAAATGTGTGGCCGTTTTCTGATGATGCTTCAGAGAAAGGCACGTGTGTGTGTGAGGGAACATTCGAGAAAATATCTGAAACCTACAGCTAAAAAGCACGTGTTTTTGAATTTCTCTCTGTTAAAAGAAAAATCAGGTAATTATATAAAATACACTTGAATTTGTTTATTGTGTGTGCCCTTTATTTAAGAAAACATAAAATCACCGGGTAAACTCTTACATTTCCTATGTCATCTCAGTAGACACTTTGCACTTTTTTTCAACCTTTTAACTCGGTTTCATGGATAAGAGACACTCTGAAGGATCATAGGTACAGCAAATATGGTGTAATTATGTTGTGTAATTTTATTTCTAGCATATATTTTCATTAATGGTATTGACTTGTATTTTCCTTCAATGCTTGTTCAATGTATATTTAGAATTCTAGCTTATCGGTATCATTATTAATAGAATCTGAATTTTCAGGATTAAACATACAAATCCAAAATTCTTGATGTTTACAATAAATGATAAACCTCACGTCACATTAACATTTCCTCATTTGATGAAAAGTCTAATTCTGATATGCAGTTACCACAATAGCATAACATTTACCAAAGAGAAGCGTGAACGACTTCATAATATAAAGAAAAAGAATTGATCTCATATTCAAATCAAAAGTAAATGAGCAAATATATAAAAGAAACACTCTGCATATCTCAAAATGGCTGACACATCACTGCACAGCTCAAATTTTCTATAATGCATGTAAAATCATAAATGTATTACAAGCCGAAATAAATAATCGTAATTCGGAGATAATACTGAGATTCAACTTTGTTTTTTCTCATGCCTCATCACAGTTCTTATCAAGCACATGTCACTTAGCATTTAGCAACCAGGCACCTCTGCCCAAACCAAAGATAAAAATATTAAAAACAGGATGAAAGATCTCCGAAATTGTATAAATAAATGTAAAAGCGAACAATTTTACATCAGATTTGCCTACAAATAAAGACATTTGTGCAGAGCTCGTACAGATCAGCTACCTTGTCACCCACCTGTTAGTGTTTGGAGCTTCAGTCCTAGAACTCGAAATAAAGTTCTCAAATCCCGAATATGAAGTCGAAGGATACGCAGGATCCATCTCGCAAATTAATCGCGATTAACGGAGAGCGGACATTGTTAATATTCATCAGTTTGAGACCGAAAGGTGGTTACATGAGTTTATGCAGTGAACTTGTCAAATAAGAACCAAAAACGTCATGAAGGGGGGTCAGGAGACAACCAATAGTTTTTCGTGCGGCTTTTTAAAATATGGATGAACCGCATATCCTCGAAAATACCCGGGAATATATTTTGGCCCTATAGCATAAATGATTACAACTTGTAACATCTCCACAACTAAATCCAAAGCACTGGCAAAATACAACATTGAGTAAAATGCAAAGACAAAAATATATGTACTCGGATACTGCCACTTACTTGATTTTTAGGAAGACAGAACTCGAAGGAAAAAAAACAAAACACAAACCATAACCATCGGTACCCAGTGATGCAGTACTTTCCTGCCGAAGAGTCAGACCCATTCATTGGTTGCCACTGCACTTTCATTTTGACGCATCTCATTTAAAAAAAACAAAAAAACCTGTTATAATAAGTAATACACCAAGAATTCGATATCTTTTGCTGTCTGTAAATGTATTTTTCTTGTTTTTCGAAAGGAGCCCATCTTCATGAGTCATGAGAGGCTTTCTCTCTCTCTCACTCACTCTCCCTCCCTCCCTTCTTCTCTCTCTCGCTCTAATACCGGCTCAAACTGCATTGTCAACTTCCGCCCTGCTGTCTCTCCAGTGGCTGGCCTGCATACAAAACCTCCCAACCATTTCAATGTCCCATACATTCTGCATTTTCATTTCCATTCAAAAACGATGATATCGACCAAATGTGCTCTTCTTGTACTCGGTTCTCACATTCTGCAGCTCTCTCATTCTCTTCCGATGAGCTGAATCTTCCCGCCTGTTTAGTCACATGTTGCCTCTCACGTCACTAATTTGACTAACTGACCCAGCATCACACTGTACACATTGCATTAAACACACAGAACAAGGACAACACACTGAGCGACCAACAACTGGCTTTCGTTTGAGTCTGAAACAGCTGAAGAGGTGACGGGAGTTTCACTTTTGATGTTTTTTCTTGTCCTCGAGTTGACTAGGCTAACGTGTTGCAATCTGCGGTTTGGTTATTTCGTGGCAGATTGAAAGGGAAACAGTGACTGCATAGCCGTTTCTAAGAAATCTCGGATTATCACATACATATGAGCTCACTTAAGTCACCTACAAATGGGTTCATTGTTATTCACTGAGCATACACTTAAAGGTAACCCAAAGGAGTGAATTGAGGTGTTTTGTAGCCTTTTATTTCTTCAAGAAGCTTGGTTTATGTCATCTTCAACATGAATCACTCAGTCACATAGTTCTCACGTTGGCTCACTCTCTGACGGTTTGAGACAGAGCAGTTTGAAAAAGAAAACAGCTGAGGCCAACAGTAAGTGGGCAGGCCGGAGGTGAATCAACAGCTAAATTTGTATTCGCTCTCTTTCTCTCTCACACACACACACACACACATCTCTAATTCCCGCTCTTTTTTTACATGCATGTACTGACACATTTTTATAGCAGATATTCACTTCATTCATACTTGCACATAAGCACAAACACTCAAGGCTGGACCACATTTAGAATGTGTATTGTTTTATGCAAATTATTTGACAAACTAAACTTAAATCTCATCTTTGAGATGCAACCACAAAAAGGTGTCTCTCAGACCCTGCAGTAAATGCAATTACTGTAAAAGGAGTGGTATGGAAAGGGAGGCAGACAAGTTCCAACCTACACAACTTCCTTCATAACTTCCTGCGGTTTTTGAGAGGACCTTTTGGAAGTCTCTGATGGCTAACCACACACTTCCATGGCATTTTACTAAAAGTACTCTTGTCAGGTGACCTCATAACTTATAAAATTGCAGTTGATCCAGAAATAAACATTCGGTCATTATTTGCTTTCCCTCATATCATTCCAAACATTTTTCTTCTTCTGTGAAACACAAAAAAATGTTCCATTTGTGTTCCACAAACAAAAGTCAAAGGTTTTTGAGAACATGAGGGTAAGTGAATAATGAGATTTTTCATTTATCCATTTAACAGTACAAATCAAGTGATTTACTTATAATGGCTTCAGAATATGAGATGTTTATGAGTCAGAGGGAAAGCTGTAAAGTGGTATGCCTTATGATTTATCTTTAAAAAAACAACAACAATGAAAAACAAAGAGAGAGAAGTAATCCTTCAGTTTACAATAGTTTATTCCTGATGTCTTAAACTCAAGGGAAATGTAGGCCAGGACAGACTAAATAGAATGGCATGCTTTCAAGATGAGGTGAAGTGCTATGTGGCCAATAGTACTGGGGATTTCCACAGTATTTAAGAGGACGGTCAAAAAAAAAAAAGCTCTAAATTAAATTGAAAATAAATGTGGAGTGCTGAATAAATTTCATCATTATTAAGGTATTTACATAAGCCAATATCAAAACACACTTCCAACCGACCACATAATTCAGTGCCATTAAAAAGAATAATACAGACAAAAGAAAAATCTAAATAAAAAGACCACAAGTCAAAAGGTTTTTTTCTACACAACTATTTATTACTGTTTTAACAAGCTCTTTTAAACAGATTATTCATCAAATTTGTTTTTGAGTACAATTTTGTGAAATTCAGTTGGTTGGCTAAAAACAATACATTTACAATTTAAAATCATATGAAAATATTATTTCCCTGTTCTCTGAATTAGGGAAAAGGTGCATTCATCAATGTTAATGCAAGCTATAGACGGCCCTGAGTGGGAGGTCTGTTACAGAACATGGAAATATAGTCTCATCTGTTCCTACATTGTTTAGTTAGTTTTAAAACCACATTTAACTCTAGGTGTGCCATTTAGTGGTAGCATTATAATGTTACTAATGTTGGCACAGCTGTTGCCGATGTCTTCAAATGCATAAAATAAACTTTCAGACACATCCCACTGTAATACTGAAATAAATGGCATACCCTGTTGCAAAGGGAGGTCTACCAGCTGAAGAATAACAGAAAATGACTTGCATGTGACCGTAACGCAGTCATGTGTTCTACGTCATTACACTATGATGCCAAGCGTTGTGTGCTATTTAGCTTTAATGCAAAAGCCTTCAAAGTGTAAGTGGTGAATCTTATCTTCAAACCCTAACATCTATCTGCATTAGACTGAAATGAATAGCTATTTGGCATGGTGGTAAAACCTCTGCCCTGATTGGCTGTGAGAAAGGTAGGCGTGGCGAGGGGTTGGTTGAGAAGAGCTTTGAAATGTAGCCTGTACAACAAAAGGAGAAGAAAAAAAGAATGTCACTTTCCTTAAACAGATCTTAATCCGACACTAAATTATTGTTACACAATTATTGTTACACAAACTTTTATATTTTTTTATAACTTATATTCACTATTGATCTCCAAAAACTTGGAGATCTGATGTTTATCACTTAAGCTACTATATATATATATACACACACACACACACACATTACTATTCAAAAGTTTGGGATGGTGAGAATTTTTAAAATGTTTCTGAAAGAAGTCTCTTATGCTCACCAAAGCTGCATTTATTAGATAAAAAATACAGTAATATTGTAAAATATTATTACAATGTAAAATAACTATGTTCTACTTCAATATTTTTTTTTATATAAATGTAATATATTTTGAAATTGATTTATTCTTGTGATAGCAAAGCTGAATTTTCAGCAGCCAAATAGTTGTGCTGCTTAGTGTTTTTGTGGAAACTGTGATATATAATATGTTTTCCACAATTTTTTTCAGGATTCTTTAATGAATATAAAGTTGAAAAGAACAGAATTTATTTAATATGAAAATATCTGTAACAATGTAAAATACTTTACAGTAAGTTTTGGTAACTTAAAAAAAAAATATTATATTATACACACACACATATACCGTATATATTAGTGCTGTCAAACGATTAATTGCATCCTGAATAAAAGTTTTTGTTTACATAATATATGTGTGTGTACTGTGTATATTTATTATGTGTATATATATATATATATACATATATATATATAAGACACACATGCAGCATATATTTTGAAAATATTTACATGTATATTTCTATTAATATAAATTACATCATATATAAATATATTTAATATATAAATGTAACATTTTTCTTATATACAAGCATGTGTGTGTATTTATATATACATAAATATACACAGTGACAGTACACACAAATATATTACGTAAACAAAAACTTTTATTCTGGATGCGATTAATCGTTTGACAGCACTAATATACTTATACATACATATATACATCTCACTGACCCCAAACCTTTGAACAGTAGTGTATAAATGTATATACATTCCATAATTAATTATTTGGTTTGGCCAGAACTCACTGCATGTGCTTGTTGTGAGGACGTTCCATGTGTGAATGCGCCTGGGGAAGCTGGCCTCGGTGGATGTGCATATGGTAAGCCAGACTGTCCAAAGAAAAAACACAAGACATTTATGCCCAAAACATAAGAGCAAAGAAATGCTACTATTTTAGGCTATTTAGGTTATTCCCTTTATCTTAAATCAACTGAACATCTGCAACAATCCAACAGAAAGACTATGGTAATATAGATTTCATTAATTGTCTTGGCTCTGACCTTGCCAGGAGGGATCTGGACAGCAATAGAGGGAGTAGGCAGCAAACCTGCAGCGCTCACATGCAGAGCCTGCGGATGCATGGGCCTCAATGGACTCTGAAAACACAAATATGAGTAATGTTTGCACAGACACAGGCATCCAGTGAAACTCTGCACTCAGCTGTTCAAAGCAGCTGACCTTCCTTTGTTCCTATTTATCAGAGTTTACATCCTGACCGGCCCTACTTACCGAGTCTGTGAAGCCGGACTGCTGGTTAGCATGTTCTAACTGTTTCTGCAGGGGAATCCCAGCACTGGGGATGTAACCTGGAATGAAAGGAGGAATCAAAAGGATTGCAAAGCTGTCTGCCAAAAGGAAGATGGAAAAAAATGTAAAACCTATGTGGGACAGGCCCTGTTGAAAAACTTACTGTCTTGCTGTCTACTGTATACATACACTAGTTCAAAAGTTTGGGCTCAGTAAGATTTTCATCTTTTAAAAAAGTAATTCTTCTATTCAGCAAGGATGCACTTTATTAATTTAAAGTGACAGTAAAAATATGTATAATGTTTTCTTTTACAAATAAATGCTGATTCTTTTGACTTTTTATTCATCAAATAATCCTATTTTTTTAAATAAAGTATAAAGTATTTTACAATGTTATTGTTTTTATTGATTTTTTGGATCAAATAAATGCAGTCTTGGTGAGTGTAAGATACTTCTTTTAAAACATTAAAACTAAACTGTCCCCTAACTTTTGAATTAGTTATTCTAACTAAAATTGCACCTTAAATTGGCTGCACCTTAGATTGGCTGATTTGAAACACTATTTATGCACCACAACATTAGTAATCACTTATCACCACACATATTTAAATATACTATTTCATTATAAAAGTATGCTACAGTGTAGCAACATGAACTCATACACACACAGGCACATTACACACACCAGGCTGAGAGGTGAAATGACTGTGGACCGCATAGCCCTGCTGCTGATGGGGCAGGTACTGCATGGCCTGGAATGCTGATGCACCTGGAGACACAAAATGATAACATCTTGCAAGCAAGTAACACATATCCACATCTAAACATATGGAATGAAGGAAAATACGAACAAGGCACCTCTAAGTTGTGAACCACTGGCATAGTTGGCTGGCACCGGCTGACTGGAGGCAAAAGGTGATGCATGCTGCGGCTGAGTGACTCCATACGGGCTGTGACTCGGCTGGCCTCCAGAATACTGGCCGTGCTCTGTTCCACCTGCACTGAATCCCGACTGAGACTGGAAATGACGCGTCTGAGACGGTGGCAAGCAGCCAATAATGGTTTATTTAAGGGGGTCTGAATACTTTCCGTACCCACTGTATATATTCACATGCTGTATACACAACCAATATTTTTTTAAGGTCTTTTATGCTCAACTAGGCCTGGCTGTCACGATAACAACTTTTAGTTGTGCAAAATATTGCCCCATTATTGTCATTTTAAAGACCATTTTATGCCACTTAATATATAATCATAATGTAACAGCATAATAATGCAAGAAGGCCTACACACATCCAAATGACAACAAACTTTTAATTTTTAAGAATATATAGATCATGGAAATTAAATATTGAAATACTAGATTCCTTAAAAAACCTGAATAAATAGTCAATAAAAAAAATTCTAACAAAAAGTGCAAAGTAACAAGTAGAAAAAAAGAAAAATGCAAAGACCTTGTAAGGAGATTTTTTCCCATACAGATTTTCCCCCTGTAAATTAATGGTCCACACAGGGCAGGGCTTAGGGGGGCGGGGGCCCCTGGGCTTGAGGTTATGTTTGGGCCCTATACCTACACTAAAAATGCCCTCAAATAGAACACCATTATGGAGTAACACAAAATACACCAACATATCCTTTGAGGTTCATAATAGTACAATTAATATGCAACATGTCTAGGCTATAGTCAAAGTTTAAATGTTATATTTAATATTCATTATAATATAATAAACTAGATGTGTCAAAACCCTGAAATAACTTTGAGCAACAAAAAAAAAAGCCAGATATGTTGGCTTATCAGTATTATAAAAGTTATTGTCATATCTGTGTCCTCTTATGTCAGGTTCTTATTTAATCAATAAATTCAATCGAATAAAAAGACATGCTGGCTATTAACAATCAAATTAAATCACTATCAACAAAATTCATAGATGGATTGTGCATGAATGTTATATAACGTTTAATGTAGAAATATTAAATGATTGCAAAAATGAAATAAGCTACTTTTTTAAATATGAAACTACAACCGCCAGTAGGTGGCAGCAAGTGACTGTCATAATGAGTGAGTTGAATCAATTCATTTAAAAAGGTGATTCATTTAACTTTGCAAACGACTGTACTTATATCAAAAAAATTTCTTTCCAATGGAGCAAAACTGAATTTAGTGTCTGAAAGTTACTCTGTAAGTTGTTGTTTATTGTACATTTGCGATCCTGCAGATATTCGAGAAAAAAAAAACAGGACTCTTGTTTGTGTGATAGGCTAAGTCCTATATCATAGGCATAGCTATGTTATAAAAACAGAAACTCATTAAATTGCTATTTTTTATTTAAAATCATTTTGATGACATTTCTTCCCCACTATGTGTAATGGCAGTAAGACGAGAGAGAATGCTCAAAACTCATCAGATGATAATAATTTATAATTTAGTGGAATATTAATATAGTAATATAGAATCATCCTCTGTAAAGAAATTATGTGTGAACATTTGAGAATTTATCATTATCTTTCTAAATGTGCGCCTTTGGGGCTAAAGGCTTAATGGAGCTGTTTAAAGTAGCCATGTGATAAACTAATCGGTGCAGACGCGATTCAATACGTGTGTCCTTCTTCTATGTGAAATAATCATAAATACCAGTTTATGCTGTTTGATTGTGGCCTTGAAGGTCGTAGTTGTAAGCTGTAGCCCCGGCTGGCCCGTTTAGATCTTGCGTGCACAGTGGAAATGTGGCTAATAATTTCTGAATTCTGACTGAGCCCACTCAAGCCCAATGGTAAGTCCGGCCATGCGTGCACACTATTGCTGAAAAACACAAATCACTACTTAGCAGTCAGATGACCGTATGCACAAAGGCACAGATCCCTAAACAAGGCCATATCTGCAGATGAAACATTTTTTTTTGTAGAAGCATTTTTTAAAATTTGAACTAGCACCTCATGACTACAACACGCTATGTACAAGAAGCTGCAAAAGACACAGGCGCAAGTGGAATGTACAAACATGGTGACATTCATTTTTAAGTAAATGGGCGATATATTGCGTCACCAAAAATGATTGAGGTCATGTACATATATTGCGCGATAAGTCGATATATTGATTACTGCGACAGGCCTATGCTCAACAAGGCATACACAAAAACAGTAACACTGTAATATTGTGAAATATTGCAATTTAAAATAACTGTTTTCTAACAGAACTCTTTTCTGTTTGATTAGTGCCAGTCAGAAGAAGTCGGAGCATTGAAAACTAATTTTTTATCATGTCTGCTGCTTCTGCTCTTCTCAGTCAACTTCTTGACTGTTAAAACAGACAAAACACTTGTTTTGGATTCCAGACAACTATGCTGACTAGTTGTTCGGATCCCAGACAAAACAGAGAGGATCTGGCTTCTGGGGCTTGATATACTATTTATGGCGTGGAGACTTAACTTTTCCATTTGACATCTGAATTTGCCAGCTCTCTTTTGCATACCTCTGTTCTTTCCGTCGTCTTTTCTCCTCCTCATGTAGGACTTTCTTCAGCTGCAGAAAAAGCTGATGCTTCTCCTCTTGAAGACCCTGCAGCTTCACTCCCATCTTCATTATCTAATAAGAGAGAAATAAAGGGTTGTTCATGAGTCCTAAACAACATAATTACAACACCATTTGTAAATAATCCAAGTATTAATCAATCATATAGATGCACCTGCTCTTTTGTTTCCTCTAAAGACATTCTCTCCTCCATCTCTTTCTTCCTCTTCCTCTCTTCCTCTTCTTTTAGTTTCTGCTCCATCATTTTGTCAACCTCTTCTTCCTCTGAGATAAACAATTGATAACCGATCACAAAGTACACATGATCAACAACACTATAATTCACACAATACACCATAATTCAGTATGGAAATTATTTTATTCTGGGCTCACCTTGCCTCTTCCGCTCCCTCTCTCTCATAATGTGCTTGTGCAAGGCACGTGCCATGGCATTAGACAGTTTGGGCCTCTCCAGAAGAGCCGGCATGATGGTAGGGATTGGCGGTGCCAGCTGTCAAGATGTTAGAAAAATGTTAAAACATTAATATCAGCATCTGCATTTTTAGTCACTACTGAGTCCACTAAGACTGAATTCAGATTTTAGTGGCCTTACCACAACTAGAATAGTCAGAGTGAGAAACAATTCAAGAACTGATAGTCTGGAAATCATTTAAATGGCCACGTTAAAAATATAACAGAACCAAGAACATTCTTAGCATTGCTGTACAGGATTTAGACATTTGACAGGTTCAGGACACATCACAAACACAAACTTAGAGCAGCTGTCAAAAAGTTGACAAGCCTTGCTAACGTTGTTTAAACCAACTTACCATATCAATTCTAAAAACCAAAGACTACGAGTTAGAGCAAAATATAAATAAGAAGAAAGAGATGTGGTAATCTGAGAAGCAATACAAGGCAATAAATGAGCAAACTCCCTGAACTGGGTTAGCTCTATAACGGCTTCACAAGCTAGCTGGCTATGCTTGCAGTAACCTGAACGTTTTGACAGTCGCTTCAGTTAACCTGTCCAAGAAAATCATCTTTCATAAGCTCGATGTTACAGACGAAAGCGATTTCAGTATTTTCTATTTGCAGTAAGTTGCATGAACACCTGCCCATTAGGCCAGCAGGCTAACGGCTAAAGTGACAGCTTAGCCAGCTAGCTTGCAAAATCAGCGAACTAAATAAAACTCTTGCAGTGACATTCGTGGAATCTTCATGTAACGCACTTTTGTCCGTTTCTGAGATTTAAAAGTATGCTGAGCTTGTCTGAAGGCTTTCCTTAAAGAAAAATAAACAAGTGTATCAGTAATTAACCGAAATAAAAATGGACAGGAAACCCAGTTTGGCGCACTTCCGCTGTGGGCGTGTGTTAATGACGTCACGTGTCAGTGAGCAGAAATGAAACGCCCATCAAGACGTAACAGTTCATTTGACATGCAAATACAGAATATTTGTTTTGAGTTTTTATTTTTATAATTGCTTTTTGTTGGAATATATTCATGTCTCGCTTCCCTGTTTCTGTATGTTTCTACAAGTTTTGTAATAAAAAATAAATAAATAAAACGCCCATCAAGAGAATCAGGGTATCTTCCGTCCAATCAATTTTAGTTTTAATATTGAAATCTGAAAAATGAAAAACGGCACATATTTTGTTTTTCAATTATTCATGCAACATAGGCCTATATATACCCAAGCCAATTTATTATTCTTTCCTTTCTTCCTTAGTGTTTAAAATATTTATTTTGAAATGAATTAATTTCTTAATTAAACAAACAGACTTTTTACAGCTGTCATATCATACCCTGTCATGCCCATCTGATGCAAAGAATATAATTTATATCTACACAGAAGAAAGCCCTGTCTAGACTCTGCCCCAGTATGAGTTGTGTCCAGCTATTCATTAGCCTGTTTGTTTGATGAAAAAAGATGAAATGTAGTTGCAATAAATGTGTTAAGAATCCATACAACTGCAGCTGCTGAGGACTATTATTCTGCTGCATGATACTGCAGAAGAACTGATGATGGCACGGTTTGATCTTCGGCTGACCAATCAGCAGAGAGGGGCGTTTAATTCCCGCCCACATGTAGAAATCACATATTCAAGCTGTTTATTAATTTTTCCACCCATGAAGGAAAAATTTTTTCTACTTTCAATATTAAATCAAAAAACGAATGATCGAATGATACACGGATTTTTCATCAGCCCGGCTTGCAGCTATGGTTTTGAAAATATTTTTTTCCACACATAAGACAAGTCTTATAAGGAATATCATTTACATAATCTGCTATGGTCTAAATAAAATGTCTATTAGCTAAATATAGTATACATAGATGTAAATATGTGGGAAATAAGTTATTTAATTTGAAGGCAAAAGCTGAGCAATACCTAAAACAATACAATGTTTGAAAAATAAAGCTGTTAAATGTGTTAATTTTTTATTGTAAAATTTATTTGAATGTTTTATTTTATTTCTTCTGATTTTATTTTTCTGTTTCTGTATGTATATGCACAAGTCTACTAGGCATAACTTTTAATTATTTTTAAATCATATGCTTAATTCTTCATGAAACCTTTTATCTATCTATCCATCTGTCTGTTCTCAGATCCGTGAGAAAAGCATAACTCAAAACCCATTAAAGACTGACACGGGCAGCTTTTTACATCAGGTTTATAATTATGGCAAGCTTAAGATTGGTGACCATGACAATTAACGCTTTTAGGGGAAAAGGAACAAAACACACCAATCCATGATACAAACAAGCAAAAAAAAAAAAAAAGAGGCCAATCAAGTCATGAACGTCAACCTCATAATAATGATTATAAGAAAATTGAAACATAAACAAGCAATCTCCTACAACATGTCAAATGAAAATAAACATTTTTTTGAAATCTTTTAACAAGATTATTCAAATGAACAGCAGCCCCAACCCATTTCAAAAAAATAATTATTGGCAACGGTACACAAACACACTCGCACTCACACACATTACATGGTATGATAGTCCAGTATTATCAGTGATTTTGGTCTGTGCAAATATGGTGGCTAAAAAACAAACTCGAACCAAACATTAAAGATCGACAGAATAGCAAGGTGACTGCAGGATGCATGTCGGTGCTGGGGGAAAGTGAGAAAAGGTGAAAGGAGAAGTGTAGAACATTGAAAAAGCTTTTACGGATATGAGTACCACTAATTTACTGAAACAGACCAGGACGTAGGTTGTATTCGGTCTGCCTAAAAGCAAGACTGAGGGAGGAACTCTTAAGTAGGAAGGAACAATATGCAGGCAGCATAGAGTATAAACAATATTTCAGACTAGGAGGATATATGAAATTGCATTCAACATGTACACTTCAAGTGGCCTAACGTATTGATCATTTTATTTTAAGGAAGGGTAGTGTGGGGCAAGTCAATTAGTTACACATCTTGCAAAACATCCCCATAGACGCTTTCATCACTGTAGGCAATGTAAAGGAAAAAGTCTTCTTCATGGTGCTCCTACAACACAGAAAGAGAGACGAAGAGTTTACAGATGCTTCTTTTTCATGAATCAAAAATGACATTTTATGAATTCTACTGATATAAACAAACAGGCGCAAAAGGTTCAGTTAAAACAAACAAAAATAATTATGTTCAGATACATTCAAATGATGTACCTGGTAAAGCAGCCCCATAGTGGCTGATGTTGGAGGAATGACGTTGTTAGAGGCCAATCAAGTCATGAACGTCAACCTCATAATAATGATTATAAGAAAATTGAAACATAAACAAGCAATCTCCTACAACATGTCAAATGAAAATAAACATTTTTTTGAAATCTTTTAACAAGATTATTCAAATGAACAGCAGCCCCAACCCATTTCAAAAAAATAATTATTGGCAACGGTACACAAACACACTCGCACTCACACACATTACATGGTATGATAGTCCAGTATTATCAGTGATTTTGGTCTGTGCAAATATGGTGGCTAAAAAACAAACTCGAACCAAACATTAAAGATCGACAGAATAGCAAGGTGACTGCAGGATGCATGTCGGTGCTGGGGGAAAGTGAGAAAAGGTGAAAGGAGAAGTGTAGAACATTGAAAAAGCTTTTACGGATATGAGTACCACTAATTTACTGAAACAGACCAGGACGTAGGTTGTATTCGGTCTGCCTAAAAGCAAGACTGAGGGAGGAACTCTTAAGTAGGAAGGAACAATATGCAGGCAGCATAGAGTATAAACAATATTTCAGACTAGGAGGATATATGAAATTGCATTCAACATGTACACTTCAAGTGGCCTAACGTATTGATCATTTTATTTTAAGGAAGGGTAGTGTGGGGCAAGTCAATTAGTTACACATCTTGCAAAACATCCCCATAGACGCTTTCATCACTGTAGGCAATGTAAAGGAAAAAGTCTTCTTCATGGTGCTCCTACAACACAGAAAGAGAGACGAAGAGTTTACAGATGCTTCTTTTTCATGAATCAAAAATGACATTTTATGAATTCTACTGATATAAACAAACAGGCGCAAAAGGTTCAGTTAAAACAAACAAAAATAATTATGTTCAGATACATTCAAATGATGTACCTGGTAAAGCAGCCCCATAGTGGCTGATGTTGGAGGAATGACGTTGTTTACAAAGAAGAAGAGGGCATCTTCGGCCCTCAAGTGGATCCTTTTCCGAATGAGGAAGTAGAACTGCCCCACTTCAGAAATAAGAAAAAAAAGTAAATATATAACCTTCATTTTTTTTTTAATACTATTAAAGATTATGCAAATTGTTCTGTATTGCTCAAGGAAATGAACCTGTGAGGTCAGACGGGACCAGATATTTCTTCTTGTCCAGATCTCCTATTCTGGCTTTGGGAGCTTTCTCGACGATCACCTGTGGAAAACAAATCACTGCTGGTAATAACAAACACTGACAGTAATGTGAGAACAACAGCATCTTTTAGTAGTATAATAACAATGCTGTTATGGGAGTTCCCCAGCTTAGGGCACATTCCCATTCTAACAATTCTGGCTGCTGATATTTGAGTACAACACATAACGCAACCAAAAATTAACCCAGTGTGAGGCCACATGGTAATGTGTCAGAAAATTTCATATTCTAGTCATTCAGTCCTCGACTCTGTCAAAATAACCAGGTTCATATGAATGACTCGCAGATATGATCTCTCTATATGACATTTAATACCTTGATATGTATTAAATGTAAACTTACATCACATAATCTTATAAAAATATATTGGTTATACTATTACTCGTACTGTAAACGATGCCACAATTTTGTATTGAGACGGAAGCTAACAGGCTAACGCCAGTCCCTTCATATATTTGAAGGACAGCTTAAAACGACGACAATGCACGATTTCGCGTGTTTTTAGACGAACGATTATTTTCACACGGTTTCCCCTCATAAATTAGCGTTGTCACTGTGTAAAGCCTCGGTTTATGTTATTTGTACGAGCGGGGCCCTGACAAAAACAACTAATTTGTCTGACTCACAGGCACTCTATCCGGGTATTTCTTTCTGATTTTCTCCCCTTCGGACCGTCGCTTCTCAAATGGATGTTCTTCTTTATACATAAACTTCATTGTCACAGGCTGGGAGACCTTAAAAATCTCCAAGAAAATCTGCCGTAGATGGTGTTTACAAACTAGCTTGCTGTTTTATTTCTCTCTTTTGGATAACTGCGTCGAGGGCGGAGGGATATCCAGTAACAGGGAACAAGGGAGGCGGCGAACGACACGTCACATTACGTCAGTTGCGTAATGACGTCTACAGTAGCCTGGAGGCCTACGTGGCATGACCTGAAACTGTAGAACAGGGTGCCCGAACTCGGTCCTCGAGGGCCGGTGTCCTGCAGAGTTTAGCTCCAACCCCAATTAGACACACCTGAACCAGCTAATCAAGCTCTTACTAGGCATACTAGTAAGAGTAGTTTTTTTCCATATATATATATATATAAAAAATAAAAAATACTTTATATACATATATATATACACCTTGCTACGTGTACTGCGTTAGGCTAACCGAGACTTGTCATTTGCACTTATATATTGTTGCTCTTTTGTTAGTTTTAACTGCTTTTATTGTCCTCATTTTTAAGTCGCTTTGGATAAAAGTGTCTGCTAAATGACTAAATGTAAATGCATACTAGAACCTTCCCAGCAGGTGTGTTAAGGCAAGTTGGAGCTAAACTCTGCAGGACACCGGCCCTCCAGGACCGAGTTTGGGCACCTCTGCTGTAGAACTAGATGTTAAAATAAATAAAATAAAATGCCGGCTAAGTTTGACAAATTAGTCATTAGAAACCACAGAAGAGTTTCAAGTTCAATCAAAACACATCTGATATTTTGCATAGTCTGCTCCCTCTCATAAGGGAATATGGTAGGGGGTTGTTTAGGTAAAACAAGGACAAAATGTCAAACCCATGCCATGAGGCAAAGTAAACAAAGAGGACTTAAATAACACTTTAGGTTATAGATGAGTACCTTACAGAGGTATTTAAAATCCAACAGTAAAATTTAGTTTAATAAATGCCTAAAAAAGAAAGGTACAACTGAGACTATCAAGCTGCCGGCAGTCCCTAGAAAAAGTCATCCTTCAAAATTATTTGGAAGACAAGCCACAAAGCCACAGTGAGGCCAACAATTTCTTTGACCATGTAAGTGGAGCAATGATGCATCAGTTTGCCATCATGAAATCTACGAAACACTAATTGCAGGGTGGCACAAAAGAAGCCACTATAAAAGATGTAGAGATGAAGATGAACGGCTAAAAGCATAATATTAACCCTGCGGTGAATGGGTCAGATTTTGTGCTCAGAGTTTTTGACTAAATTCAAATTGTGGCACAAATCCAACATTACCCACACTTTAAACACTGGGCCTTATTCATGAAACACAAGCAGAATGAATTTTTGTGAAAACCATTCATAAAGCCATTCTCGCATAATTACATTAAATGCTCCACTGAATTAAAATGTATAAGAATGTTTTTTATAAATGTTGTACATAGAAATTTGTTCTGCTTGTGCTTCACGAATGGTATGTATGTATGGTACTGGGTTGATTTTTATTAGAAGTAACAGAGCAAAACAAAGCAAAAATAATGCAGAACCTGTTTCAGTTAGCTAAAAATATTAAGTTATTTTGAATATATATATATACATATGTTCTACTGCCAATCCCCAATCCAATTCAATCTGGGCACTATTCAAAAATTGTAGTGCATCATCTTAAGGAAAAAAACCCTGGAACAAATATAAATAGAAGAATGGACTAAAGTCATTCCCAATTTAGATTTTTTTTTCCATTCCCACCAATTATGGTATGGTATTTTCACTACAAATGATTAGGTCAAAAAAAGGAAAAGAAACATGCATGAACAAATTGTTTACAATAAGATGCATTTAGAATATAGATATGCATGGATTTTCATTTCATACAGACTTTAAATTCATTTATAGCTTTGAAATCTAAATTTCACAAGAACAAAACAGAATCCAGGATCTGTAATTCAGTAAAATGAAAATTGGTTAAGAGTCTGAATACTTAAAGTTCAGCCAATCTAAAATGTTAAATACCCCCCAAAAAGTGGAAGAGACCATCATTTCAGTTGCTGACAAAAGGCTCTATTTTATTTTTCTGTAATAGAAGAGTCCTTGTTGCTCAGTGTCTCTCTCAGTGGCTGATGTATCCATATCAATGAGCATCTAAAAACGCGTCCTCGAAAACCTCTCTGATTTAACCAGAGGTTTTACATATGAGCCATAATACACAGAAAATTAATACCATAAGCTGTAATAAACTGTAGTTTTCTCTCCTGCTGCTTGTACATTTTTTCTCTACCACAGTATACTATCAGTACAACGGTATTAACAGCTCTCAGCTCTTAACATAGAGAAGAGGCCCAGATACCTGAGATGGCAGACAGAAAAAACAAAGGAGAGAGGAAGGACAGAATCTTAGAGAGAGAATGAGTAGATAAGACCATGTGACCATTTGTGCTAAGGTCATACGAAACTAAAAAAGACAAACACTGATGTTGAGGAAGGGGGGAATAAGTGCTTGTGAAGTGACTGGTAGTTACATCCCATTCACGGATTCATTTGCCCCCAAAAAAATGAAAGGTAAAATTGGAATCAGAAGCTTTCACTCGGAAAAACTCCATCATGCACATGTTGAATGCAACAACTGTAAGGCAGAGTTTCCATTTTTTCAGGAAAAAAAATACAAGAAAAAAAAAATGTTGGCCTCTCCATTTGCCTTGTTTATTTGTAATCGCTGCGTCATCATGCGTCTCTCCTTTCTGTCCTCCCATGTCTTCTATTAGCATTTCCTCAGAGGAGTCCATATGACTAATGGGAGCTCACGATGACGAGAGGCTGACAGTTCCAGTACAGGAGAGGCTAACACTTAGAGGGCAGAGCCATGTAAAAACCAGACGGCGACCAGAAGAGCGACTGGCCCTGACAGATATGATCACCAAAGCCGATGCTGGTGGAGATTTCGACTGAGGACGGAGCGAACGTCTGAGGTAAACCTAGAAAGGGTGTGAAAAAACAGTAAGGGCAACTTACTGAAGCAGCAACATAAGACGTGACAAAAGTTCAATCAGAACAGAAAGATTTGTGGGTGATATAGCAGTCATGTGCAAAAACTCCCAACCAAATTTTACTTGTTTTCTGAAGAGAAATAAAGAAATGAACTTTTATTTCACTGTAACAATATATCTCACAATATAGTTAGTTGTGCTTTAAATAAGGTCATTATGATATCAACATTTTTAATACCATAGAAAGTTCATAATTCTTGTCAACAGTGTCAATATCACAAAAAACTAATACTACCCTAAATAAAATAAAAAAAACACAAACAAAAAAACTCAAGCTTACTGAGGACAAGTAAACAGTCAATGATCATAAAAAGGATAAGAAACTAATTACAAGCAATAGGACAAAAAAAACTACACTAGAACTAAAGTAGAACAAATAAACAAAAAATGCTATATACACTGTATAAAGTAATCCAATAAAAAACACTGCCTATTCTTTACTGTGTACATTAAATATATATTTCTTCTAATTAAAGTTACACAGGTGATTTATTCAAGAGCAGTGAGAGATTTTCTCTTTTGTTGTCTGATTAACATGAATGACAGACAGCAGGAATATTAGACTGCTGTCACTTTAAGAGCTGCTTGTATCCAATATACTGTTACACATGTTTTCTTTCTCAGCTCTTTGCTTTCACTTAAGACCTAAATTACTGTGTTTATGAGGATACATGCAAAGACAGGAATTTTGACATACAATTGTGTGTATTTAACCATTCAAGGCCTATAAAGTAGCAAAAATAACTCAGTTCTTCACATGCACATAGCGAAATGAGTTCTCTTTCGCTGCTGATTGTAATTCAACAGCTTAAAATACCTTGTTTTTTTAACCGTAATGCTTAAAAATGCGTACAAATGATAGGTTTACATGAGCGCGTAGCACAGCAATGCCACGTGAGCATGTAACCGGGATATATGATAAGAATCATGTCTACTGGTGTATTACCTACCCCTAGTATACATTCAGACAGATATGATGACATATGTTCAAACTGTGCAGAATTTATTGGGCATAAATTAGGCCTAGTCATGATTAAGAGGTTAATATGACCATGACTTAAAGAAATGTTAATACCTCAATGCATCCAACATTGGGAGCAGGTTAAGAAGTGCTGTGTCGCTTGGGTCACTGAACCACGACTTTATAGGTATTGCATTGTCTGGGGGTGAAAACAAATTAAAATGACATTCATAAAACTATTTATTACACAAAATAATTTTTGCACCTGCTAGATTTTATTTTATTTTTTATAGATGCTCAAGATGAATGTCTGTCTCCCTAAACATAGGATTAACATTACATTTTGAAAATCAGAGTGGACTGATACTAAATCATCTTGAATGTGCTCGCCATAGATGTACAGATATAGATCTCTAACCTGGGTGACTTCGATAAGCTCCAGGCGAGTTGTCCAGAATGACTACACTGGAGAGATCACTGTGTACTACAGACAGATCTTTTATGTAGCTCCCTAAATCCAAAGTACAGTGCTACAAAAAACGGGAAAGAGAGACACAGACGAACAGGTTCAGTAATTGAACAAACAGACATGAAAAACTACTTCCTAGGCAGGATCAATCAACAAAAGTCTGTGCAGAGAGTAAGAACTGGTCCTAAAATACCTATCAGGAGCAAATGTGCAGGCAGTGGGTTTTTACCTGTCTGTAGTATCTTCTTTTGAGGACATCCCTGTTGTTATCCAGCTTATCTGCTACAGCCGATCCATATATCTCCATACTAGCTGTAAATACTACCAGCTCATACCACTGACTAACCTGATATATACCAACAAGAGGACACACTATACACATTAGAATTTGTTCACAAAGCAAATGCAAGTAAACTGGCAACATTTACAAATTTAAAAAATTACAAATTTTCTTTGCTCATCTGCTCAAATGACAAAATTTACTCACCACTTCAAGAAAGAAGTCGACGTGTGGCCTTTTATGGACAAAAAACCTGACTGGGTGTTTGTCTATTACCACCTGAGAGAGAGAGAGAAAGGGGGGAGGGGAAACAAACTTTCATGCATAATCAAAATTGATCAAGGCTGCATTTCTTAAATAGGAAAAACAGTAATATTATGAAATATTATTATAATTTAAAATACCTGTTTTTTTAAATACATTTTAAAAATGTAATTTATTCCCATGATGGCAAAGCTATTTTTTTTAGCAGCCATTACTCAAGTCTTCAGT